TATATATATATATATACGCAGCTCGGTGCATTAGTATCGGTCAAAGAACTTGAGCGATTTTTTAACAAAAGGATATCAGTTTTCTTTGTTAAACTTTTAAAGGTTATCTTTTTCTTTATTTCTCTCTTTCGTTTTTTTCTTTTAATTTGAGAATTAGAAGATACTTTTTTTTTATTTCAATTATAAAACTTCATAATATATCTCGTATATTGTAATATATAATTTTATTTAGATTTTATTTTGTGTTCCTTTTGTTAATATGAATATATCAACGTTGAACATATGGTTCATTTATTATTAATATTTTATTATTATTATTAAAGATTGAGCCGTAAGAGATAGAATTTGGGGATTTTGGGGGGATTTTTTGGTGTTTTTTTGGTGTTTTTTTGGTGTTTCTTTGGTGTTTCTTTGGGGCGGGGGAGATGAAGGAATATGATCTTTAGGGAAGAATCGTTACGCTCCTGGTGTTCTTTCAACGAAGTATATTGCGGCCTCGCCCCCCTTTCGCGGGCAATCGATTCATCTAGGAGACTACAGATGGTAGCACCATCTTGGTTCCTGCCCACATGTGCAAAGAAAGATGGCCGTTCGTCGAGGCCTGTCTCTCCTCGTTGTTCCTTCCTTCCCTTGCGTACTACGTGCCACACCGTTAACGACTCGTGCAAGCGTGCGCGTTATTATAAGAAGAACAAAAAATTACGAGATTTGTGAAAGTTTATTATTTGCCACGTTGTTTTTTTTTTTTTTTACAAATAATATTTATAAACAATACTAGTAAAAAAAATTCGAAGAGAAGACGCATTAAAGGTGAGAACAATTTTTAAAAATGATATCTTAATATATAGATAGAAAGAAAGAAAGAAAGAGATACACGAGTTGTAAAAAACGTCTGTTAAATTTTTCCTATCAACATTTTTTTTTATAATTTATTTTACATCGGTGTAAATTTATATATAATTTTTTATATATTTTTTTTCTTCTATTCTATTTTATTTTATAACCTCAAATATATATGTATTATTTGTCTATACAAATGTTCCTTCTTCTTCTTTAGAAGAAATAACCTCCAAAATATTTCTCTTTTTCTCCTTATTATTCTTATTCTTTAGAAGAAAAAATAACTTTAGGCCAGACAAAAAAATGAAAAAATAAAAAAATAAAAAAATTAGATGTGCTAGTACAGCAGCACCATTTCTCTTATCTTATCATTTCTAAGAAATTTCAAGGGAAACGTATCTTAATATAATATTATAATTTTCTTCTCACGTTATTCGACTTTGAACATATTTTACTTTTTATCTAGTTTTTATTATTTCGTTAGCATGTTTCATTTCTTTTCTTTTTTTTTTTTTTTTTCTTTCTTCTGTTATTACCATGATTGACGTAATATAATATATAAACGTGTGTAACGTGGTGTGGTGGTGTACCCCTCGCGTGTGAACAACTATAAGAAAAGAGAACTAGGAGGTAATATATACGAGACACGACGATGACGTTGACATAGACGTACTTTAACGGAATGTACCTAGCGTAATCGCTTTCACAAGTAACTCTGATTTTATTACTTCAGCGACAGCCTCGAGAAGTGAGAGATACATAGTCATCGTAGTTATCCCCTCCCCCTATCCCCCTTCCCTTCTCTTCCCTTCTTTCCCACTCGCACGATTTCTTTTCTTCAGTATACACACACACACACTTGTTAAGAAAATATGGAATAAAACATTGTACATTTATTGTTCTTCTTGAAAGTAACAGAAGGTAGACAACAGTTTGAAATTAATACAAATTTGGAATTAGTTTAGGTAATAATCAAATATATATTAAATGATAGAGTGTGTACGTGCGAGAAAGAATGCAATTATTGGAGAGTTAATGGTATTACAACCTTGAAGAACTATGTTGCGCAGTGTACGATCAAGTATCGAGATGTGTAGTGTTGTCTAGCAGCAGGTCTAGTTGTTGCGTATGCACGGAATATGGCGAGTAGCTCGTTCATTGGAAAAATTCGTTTTACATCGTCATCGCAAAATGATGATGATGATGATGATGACGTTGACCATCATCATCATCATCATTCTCGTCATCATTTATGTGCACACAATTTCTAAAGATCCTATGGTCTTCGTGTTATTATACCTCAAGTCTTATTAACATTTCTTTTTGGTATTTCCATTTGATGCTTCTTTTGTCAATTCCGAAACTTTTGTAAATTGTGTTATTCCATTTTTCATCTTTTCCAAATAGTCGAACTTTTATTATCATTCGTGACAAGTAAGTGAAACAGGAGTGTTAGATGAATTAGAAGAATCCATCTGTTAAAAGATTTGTCTACAATGTTTCCTCCCATATGGTATTTGTATTTTTTTCCCTATGTGCAAGTTTCCTTGAAAATATCCAAATATAGTTGAAGTATTCTGATACAAGTATTAATTATTTAATAGTAATCATTGTATAGTAGTTAAATACAATTTCCATATGGTATAATATAAATCAATGTTTGTGTATGGTACTTTTGACTTTCGATATGTAAAGCAGATTATCGTTTTGTTCTAGGATCAGAGTTCCATGCGGGGAACTACGGCGCCCAGCCAGGGGGCCAGGTGGTGGGTGGAGGAGGGGGGAGTGTAGGTGTACCTGGGGGTAGAGGACCTCCACTTGGTGGATTGCCCTTGGGGCAATCCACAGCGGGTATACCACCAGGGGGCCCAGCTGGAGGACAGGCTCCTCCGCAAGCCCAAGCACCTGGAATACAAGCCCAACAATCACAAGGGCCAGCACCTACAACAACGCCACCAGTGCATACTCCTTCACCACAAGAAATGGGAAAATCAACACATATGCAAACACACGTATGTTTCATATTGAAAATCAATCGTGATACCGTTAATAATCAATCATTTTATGAGACGCAATCATTGATGTGTAACATTAATATCACTTTCAGAACTATTATTCAGCTGCTCCGAGACCTCAGCAGCCAAGAAATTTAAATCATAGAGGTGGACAAGGAGGAACTAATAATCAGGTTGTAGGTATGGCGGGGGTAGCTGGTGGTGCCGGTCAACCACCCGTCATGTATACAGCTGGCTTGACGAGTCAGCCAGGGGCAGTATTTGTTCCTAGTCATGTTGCCGGTATACCGACAGGGCCCCACCAACAATCTGTATATCATATGAATAATCAATTAATTCAGGTAATTATTTCATTATTTATATTTTTATATTTTCTTCCGATTGTTCTAAAGAAAATCAATAATTATAATAATATATATGTGGCATTACAGTTCTCGAGCGCGCCCCAAAGACATCAGACACAAGGTCAATCCTATTATCCTCCTTATCAACCACACGCTCTGCTAACACAGAACATATATCCTTATCAAGCTGGGCCAGCGCCTCAACCTAGCTGTAAGTATAACGTAACATTTATTATTATTATTATTATTATTATTAGAGACATTAATAATATGCTTTATTAATGTCTTCTTGATACTTCTTTTTAGTTTTCTACGCATCTCCCACTGCCCCACTAGGTATAAATAGGTCAAGTGCAACCGCTGTTAGTGGTGGAGCACAACATGTTGGGGGCACTCTTGGGGGTGCCCAAGGAGCTGCAATGGTACCACAAGGTACCCTTCAACAAACTACACAACAACCTCAACCTTTACCCCAAATAGGTACGTTTATTTAATCCTTCGACTGTTAACGGCATAAATATATATATACACATATACATGCATATAATATGTTAGCATTATTTTGTGAAATCCATTAATTCATGAAATGAGTATTTAAACCGTGAAATATAAAATATATTGGATTATGTACTTCAATTAAGTGTTGTTAATATGTATAAATTTACAAGAAAGAAAAAGATCATTAGTTAAAGTATGTAATTGTGCCTTTCATGGTTTAGCTGATTATTTTATGAATTTACTAATTTCTCATTTTAATGATAATATATATGTACATTTTTACATATTTATCAAAATATATAAATGATGTATATATATACATTTGCTTATAATCATTGATATAATATACTATAATATCGAAACCAACATCAACGTAAATATAGAGTTGTATAATTTGATGATTCTGAGTCGTCGTATCATGCCGCAGTCTAAGGATTAAATAAATAAATTATAATAAAAAAAAATAAAAAAAAAGAAGTTTAACAATTTCTCACAATTTTAATAATCAACGTTGAAATTTAATTTATCATATTTATTTATTTTATTTTATTTTTTTTTTTTTTTTATACATGTATATAAATTCTATATTCACAATTTTATTTTTATGAAAGAAAAATAATTCTTCATGGTTGTAGTTCTAAAGGTATAATCAAAGAATACACCTATGCAGTAGATTATAATATGAATAATTCATAAGTAACATGATTATAAATACATTTGGAAATTTAATCAGTCTCTTAGAATCTAATGGAAATCCAAGACATTGAATTCTTCTCTCGGTTTTTGTCAATTAAATTATACAAATTATCTAATGGTTAAATATTACATAATTGTTGAAAAGAACAATGCAATTAATATTTCATACTTTTTATCATGAGTAAATCTGTTACTTTGAATTAATTTGGTTTGCACACTATGTAAAAACAACATATAATAATTATATACAATAATTGAATATGTATTGACAAAAAAACAAAAGTTTGGACAACGAATCGTCGTATTAAGGTGTCTTTCTAAGATTATCCTGGCCGACGTCAGCCAGAAAGAATTACTAATTCATACGCTGCATGATATTTGACATAACTAACTTAATACTTTGATTAATTATTAAAAGAAAAAAAGAAATTAGTAAAATTTAATTATATCCTTTTTTAAAAATAATCATTTTTTTTTTTAACAAAATTATATACATTTTTTAAGGCTATAATAATTATGACGTTGTATATGGCTCTTCTCTAGTTCCTGGATATTACAAAGATTATAGTAAGCATAACATTCATATCTATTTTCTAGAAACTAAGGTCTTTCTACTATATCAGTCAGTATAAAAAATATCAATAAATGTACATTGAAATAATAAAAAAAATATATATATATATTATTAAATTTTATATATATATACGTATATACATTAAGTTTATAAAAACGATAAATTAATATTGATTTTTATTCTTTTTTTTTACAGATCTGTACTCGGGTTACAATGGTGGATCTACAACAGGAACTAACAGTTCGATTAGGTCCAAAAAGCCCAGAGGTGAAAGGGCAATAACAGACATTGTTAATCCTAGTACAGGGAAAAACATTAGTCATGAAATATACGACGATGACACATCTGTCGAACATGAGTCTAATAGTCGTGAAACTCCTCAACTACAGGTGCGTTCATATTTCAATCATTTATCATAAGTAATCGGCTAAAAGGACAAATGAATTCTATGTATAAGTTATATAACACCAAATCTTAAATAAAGAATAATGATTTTTTAGCCAATTACTTGTTTTGTATTTACGTCCATACCCTAGCCATGATATTTTTTGATTTTTATCAAGTTTTTATATTAGAATTTGCATAATAAATTGCATACATAAAAAAACAAATATATATATATATATATATATATATAATTAATTTTCAATGATATCAAATCTTTGATGTAATCATTAATGATTGATTACGAATAAAATTTGCACATCAAATTAAAGTTTATTATAATTAATATTAAAACAAATTCTCTCTATATTTTTATTGAAATTGATCATGCATATATAATAAACATGGCTAAAATAAAGAAACGAAAAAAAAGGTAGAAGACGTAAAACAATATATTGAAACGTTTATTTGTGTTTTTCTTTCGTCAGTGATTTATGTTTTTATATGTGGTGTATACACCACCCTAATGTGTATATATATATGATTTGAGTTTGAGAAGAGTTTTTGGTTGTCTATTGCATACAATTCAACGCTGTGTACTACGTCTCAGCCGTCTGTCACGCAGATTTGGTGATTGTTACAGAATAGTAGCGGAGCTGAGGTGGTGGCCGATTTTGCGGCACGCGTTGCTAAAGCCGCAACTGAAAGTTCAGATTCAGGTTCACCTGTACCGGTAGTAGTTACTACGCCGGAAACAACTTTCGTGCCGCAAATAACCACACAAAGTTTGTCGAACATTAAAACCACGACAAACGGTTTAAACAGCAACAGCAACAACAACAACAACAACAACAATAATAACAGCAGCAGTAGTCATTCTGCAAACAGCAGCAGCAGCAGCAACAACAACAACAACAACAACAATAGTTTGGCTACACAATCACAAAACATGAGCAAGGTGCATGCATTATGTAATCAATCTTTAGAGACGCCATGCAGTCAAAATAAATTAATCCCAACTCCATCGGGGACGGCGGCGGCGGCGGCACCATCATGTATTGTGTCACCATCGGCTACGACCTCGCTCACATCCTCTACTACTGCTATGACTACTACACCATTGGCGGCCACCATTTCCTCGACTGCTCCTGTATTATTATCATCGTCATCCTCTCCTTCTCCTTCCTCTTGCGCGATCAAAACTACTACAGCCGTTGAATCTAAACCATTACAATTCTTCGCAAAAGAGTTTCATCCTAGAGGAGAGAAAAAGACTACAAATAGCAATGAGGAAATTGTAGCCGTTGTCAATGATAATAATATTCCTCCTGCACAGCCTATGACGACAACAACTACTACTACTACCACATTGGCTAGTACTACTACGCTCCTAGACCAGGAAGTAAAGAGAACTACGAGCCCTCCATCGGTCAATGTGCAACCACCACCACCACCACCACCGTCATCGGCGCCCCAACATCACCAGCCACAACAACAGCAGCCACAACAACAGCAGCCACACCACCATCATCAACAGCAGCACCATCACCAACAGTCGCAGCATAATTACCAACAACAATCAGTACATCAAACACAGCAACAACAACACGCTGTGTCAAATGTTGTTGGTAATATCCCAGAGGTTAGCAGCAAACCTTCCTCTAATGCTGCTGCTGTAAATCCCACACATATAAGGGAACAACCCTTCACGAACAACAGCCAGACGACTGCGCCGAAGACCAATTCTCCTCCGAACAAATCAAACTCGCCACCAAGGAGGAAATCATCGCAGTCACACAATAATGCGAATAATGCCAACTCTGAGCCATTAGCCAATGCTAAAGAGCTCAGAGAGAAAAAAAGAGAAAAGAGCATTAATTCGAGAAACGTGACTACTACTCCAGCTCCGGCACATAATCAACCGGACCATCACCACCACCACCACCACCACCACCACCATCAAAAAACGAACGGTGATGCCAATGGAGAAAAATCGGAACAAGAGGCAATATCATTACCACCACCCATTGCCAGAAATGAAGTTCCGTCTAAGGCGACAGAAGGTGAGTGTTTTTTTTCTTTACTTAATCATTTGTCGTCATTCCTTCCTTCCCTCCCTCCCTCCCTCCTTCCTTTTTTTTTGTCTTTTCGATAATCGAACAATACATTATAATAATAGAATCTATTTCAAATGAAAAATTAATCATTCGTAGAAACTAGAGCGAGAGAGAGGAGGGTAGAGATCTATTTATAGTATACAAAAAATATATACACGAATTTTACATTCGTTTATATAAACATAACAGCATATATATGTATATTAACAAAAGTAAAGGTTATATTGTTATTTCAATTTATAATCGACTGACTATATATATATAATATTTTTTCGAATAATTTTTCTGAATATTATTCACGAATTCGTATTTCATTCGATATATTATAGTATGTTCCATTTTGTTTTCTCTCCTTTCTTTCTTTCTTTTTCTCTCTCTCTCTCTCTCTCTCTCTCTCTCTCACATTCATCTCTTTCCTCCATATTCGAACGTTTCAATGAAAACTGGCTTTAATATACCAACAAGATTTTGTGGCTGTTCTCAAGCGTGTCGACTTATTCGCCATCTATCGGCAGGGTAGTTCAACTTTTGAATGTATGTGCATGTTTTGTCCGTCGTTGGCGTTGTAGTCGCGTCGTGGTAGTTCTCGATGGTTCTTTTCATCATTGTCGATTTGCCTTTGGGTGGTTGAAGAGTGAAAGTGGAATAGAACTCGGAGAGAAGAGACAGTACTTTGAGAAATAGAATTGAACATTAAAAAAAAAACGAAATTATTTAGGATATATATATTAGTTAGATAGTTATAAAGAGGGAAAGGAAAGGATAATCGACAAGTAGTAGCGCGTGTTCATTTATATTACGGATGAATAAATCTTCAAAAAGCGGCGGGTGTGGTGTATATATGGTTTTTCGTTTGTGGTGATACTACTTTATGAACTTAAAAACGTGTACGAGGAAGAAACGAACAAATTTTCACGAGCTTAACCTACAAATCTATGCACGCACGCATGTTCTTCTTCAATTTTTCCCTTATTATATGCTGACCGCGTGTTCGATTCTTCAAACGGAAGAGGGGTGGATGGTTACTACTCTCTTTGTTGTTTAGTGTTCCTCTTTATAATTTGATTCAACTTTTTGTTATTTAGTGTTTTTATAAAAGGATTTAGCTTTTTTCTGATTATTGTAAAATATATATACAAATATTGTATAGAAATACTTTGATCGGAAGAAGAAAAAAAAAAGATATAATAAAGTAGTTAAGATTTGTTCTTTTATAAATGGTGGTTAAGCATTCAATATTGCGCGCTTATAACGCTTAAGAAGAAAAAAAAAAAATGTCCGTCGTGACTTAGTGAATTATTATTCTTATTTAAAAGAATTATGTTTCGTTTCTCGTTCCTCGTTGTTCGTCGCGTCGTCGCCGCGTGGTATAAATATAACATGGCGAAAGTGTACACATGACTACTACTACTACTACTACTTTTCAACGTTGCTAAAAACCACCGTATGGTTGATTTATTAACCATCTGAAGATGCTTTACTTGTAATTTATTGTATTATTTGTTAACTTCCTTTTTAAATGTGTCGTTAAAATAGTGCATTTTTCAAGATTAAACAAAAATTTGTTATATAAAAACTTGATTTCCTTTTATAAAAGGAACTAGTATAAGTTTCGATTCTATTATTAGTGTTCGTTCTACATTAACCAAAATGGGGAATAAAAAGAAGGGTGAGTTTTAACAATCTTTTATGTTTCTAACTTAGACATTATATTCCTAAATATATACTTATAAATTGGACTTATACGTTAGATAGTGTATTCGTTTAAATTGATTTAATTTTAAATTAATATTACGTTTAATTTTTTTTTTTTTTTTTTTTGTCAAAAGGACAAAGAAAAGAAGAAAACCGTTAATACGTGATAGATTATAACAATAGAAAATGAATATAGAAACAAAAAATACCTTATTAGTAAAAATACATGGTTTGATGTGTTCGATGGTTATATATATCGATAGTTTTCATTTTATTTCTTCTTTTTAATTGAAAATATTCTTACAAAATAAATTATTGTTCTTATTAATTAATATAATAAAGGCACATGTGTTCCCGCGCACGCGTTCTTGTCAAAGGATACAACTGTTATAATTTAAAATCTGTTAGTACAATCTGACACAAAGAGATATGAGAAAGATCCAGACGGATGATTGGTCACTGTAAAACTGGTCAGTGACGAATCACGGGTTTCCTCGAGAACGCACGAAATTTCTCGAGGATAACCGAGACATAGAGGAATAATGTTAAATTCTATCGCTGGGGGGAGACACAAGCGTTTACTTTGAGAGAACGAACAGGCGTCGAGTTCTTTCAGTAGCCGGCACGTGCTGTATCAGCCGGCGGGTACATTTCATTTATTTTCCTATTTCCTATTCCTTTTTCCTTCTCCCCATATTTTCCTTCTTTATCATTTTTCACTTTTCCGTCCATTTATTTGTTCGATTATAATATAAACGTTTATTTTTTATTTTATCAATCCATAAATATTTGCCAAGTTCTTTTAATTGATATCAAATTTCTCGTGTTTTACATTTTCCTCTTTCAATATGTTCATTCACGTTTGTGTTACGCTTATTTAATAGATTGTTTTTTTGTATTATTATATTTTATTTAAATTCGAAACTTTGTTTTAAATAATGTCTTAGAAGAAATTTCAATGATTGTATATATGTAAATATATATTTTTTAATTTTTTCTATGTGTCACCAACGAGCGCGCCATTTACACGTTTCTCGTATTTTTCTCTTTTATACTTTTTTATTATTTTATTTAATATTTTTTCTTTCTATTCCTTTTATTTATATCCGTAACAAGAATCTCAACATATTTTCTCAATCCTATTAAATCCTTGAAGAGTGAAAAAAAAGTTGTATTGTACATAGCACGTGTTGGATTATATTCGTACTTTTTTTTTTTTTTTTAATACTGTGTGCTGCAAAGCGGATGTGACGACATCATCAACTACGACAGAACCAGTATTCCGTCTGTATTGAGATGTATGTACATATATATACATATACATTATATATATATATATATATATATATAATTTATTCGATTACTAGGTTCGCTTTTCCTTTTAAATAAAATATATATATATATATATTTTCAGTACGATCAAATTTTAACGAAAAATTATCGGTGGTCCCGACAACGTGGGTCCGACATTTTGTTCTCACTATAATTTTCCCTTTCACGCAAAAGCAAGCATCGAAGGTTTTCGACGATTAAATATTATACTTTCATCGATAGTTTGACGAAAACATATGCGATAAAGAAAAAAAAAATAATCGTTATACTTTTCAAATATTTCAAAATTGTTCGTAAGATAATACTAGAAAGGAATTCAAGGAACACATGGTATAAAACAAAATGGTCTCGTTCGATTTCTAAATTCGAATTAGTTATATACAAAAGCTCCGAAATATGAATATAAATTATCGTTTCGATTAGTAACAAATTATATTATTTTATTATAATACTAATATTAACACTAGATATACCAGACCAGTCATTTTGATTGGTCGAGCCATTTTAATTCAAAATTTCTACTTTATGCAACATTTGAGTTCTGTAAATAATTTGAAAATGTCTATAAATCCATTTATCTATTAACATTATTATGGTTAAACATTTTTCGTTATTTTTTAAAAGTGAATAAAGAATGGAAGTCTTATAAAGTATTTTTTTTGTATACACCAGTCATTTTGACTAGTGTGGTAGAAATAGGGATATTGAAAATGGTGGTATATCTAGTGTTAATACGCGTGTCTTTTAATAATCTTTTTTATGTTCATTCCTACGTTTCGAAAGAACGTAGAATTTTCTTGTTTTCATTTTCTTTTTCTCTTTAAAGAAGGAAAAAAGAAAAAAAAAAGAATAAAAAAAGTAAAAAATGCCAAATAAAGTTCTTCATCATAGTGTTTTTTCGGTTGTTTCAAAATTGAACTTTGTGAGACGGGTTATGTTTCTTCCTTCTCCTTAGCACCACGTCTTCGTCTTCGTCTTCGTCGTCGTCTTTCTCGTATAAGAAAACCGCATGCGCCGTGAACGGTCTTTAGAGAACGCCATGGGGTCATGGCCGAGGAACGTATATCGGAGTCCACGCATACACACACACACACGCGTGCTGTGTCTCCTCTGTTGTATATATATATATATATATATATGTTTCTTCTTTCTCTCTCTCTCTTTCTTACTACGGTTATAGGACCTATGTTTTAAAAGCAGTTTCACAAGAGCATGCGTCGTCGTCGTCGGTCGCGCCTGTGCAAAAAATATACTTTGTCTCTTTGGGCGGTAACCTTGAAAATTTATCTTTAACCTTACTTAATATATATATATATATATGGTTTATTAAAGATATATTGTTATTATTCCAGTGATATCTAAGAATGATCCACCTCTTTCTCCTTCTCCAGTCCTCCATACGCACAATAATCACATTTTCTTATTTTATTCATTAATATAAAAAATATATTCATGGCAAAAAGATTTTTGTTATTGTATTATAAACGTTTCTTGTGACGTATATAGAATTTTTTAATGTAAGATTATAATTGCGAGGAATAATAATTGTAGATAACCCTTGAACACTTTTATAACGTTGGTTAGAGAATTGATGAATATCTTTATAATACAGTATATGGTTTCATTTGAGAATACAGGTTTTGAAAATGAGTATAATTTAGAAATAAAATTGAATACTTGTTGATAAGTATGTAAATTTTTAATGAATGTATATAGAGACAGTAAATTGCAGGAAAGTAATTGATTGTTTCTACTGTTAATTTGATATAATTATTATTTACATTTAATACACAATTATTTATCAAATATAATATTATAATTATATTTGATAAATAATAAAATCTTCTTACAATTGAATTTACATTGATGATTCATGATAGAAACAAAATAATTATTCAAAAAATTGAAAATTGCGTTTAAATATTCGATTTTGCTTAAACCATATGTTGAATTTGAAATGTTTGAAATATCAGGCCAAATCGTTTTCGTTCCTTCTGTCCAACCTGGTGGAAAGATAAGATAGGAGGTGGTATAGATAAAAAAAAGTAAGAAAGAAAGAAAGAAAAAAAATTCAACTACACATAAATATATATATATATATATATATTATATACACATATATGTGCGTGTTACATTCATTGCAAATGCTCTTTTGAGATAGCTACCTCGACCTGCTTTTATAAAATCTTACTCAACTTACTTTCATGCATCGAATTAACTGGCATCTCGTGCTGCTGCTGCTGCTGCTGGTGGTGGTGGTGGTGGTGGTGGTGGTGGTGGTAGTGGTTGGGTGTTTGCTACCAGGAACCGTGATTCGTATTTTACGTGTTTTGTATTATTAGCTCGAAATTATTAATCTCTATATAGGATTTATTTGCTATGATCTTTAATTTTCTATTTTTGGGAAAGCACAGATATCTTTTGTTCTTTTCTGGAAAATAATACATGTAGGAAATATACAATGAAGATAATGTAAAAGAAAAAAAGAAGAAGAATAAGTTCATAATCCTCCCTGTTTCATAAATAATTATGACGATGATGAGGGAGGATACTTGTCATCATGTTCATCATTATACATATGAATCACATGACGACAAGTATCCTTCAAAATCGGTACGCACGCGTAGGTTAAATTACATGTGTAAAATGGTCCCTTAGTGCGCTTGCTCAGTTGCACGACCGGCGAACGAACAGAACTAATTTAAGAAATCCTATGTCGCGAAGTCTGTTGGTGTGTTGTGTGCGCCAGTTCACAGGTTAAAATAGATACGTGAAAGCCGTTCGGGGGATACCTTCCAAGTGTTTTCCAAAGTGTTCTTTAGTTTCCTACTAACTTTCTGCCAACGGATTCTTCTTAGGTTTTTTTTTTTTTTTTTTTTTTTCTTTTTCAACGATTATCATATACAACTAAGAATATTTTTTTTTTTTAATTTCCATATATATAGATAAATGTATGTATGTGTGTGTATTTATGATATCTGATATGATAATCGTTAAAGAGACATTTTAGAGACCACCATTAGGTATAGATATTAAAAATATTTCCTCGTTAATGACTGTCTGTTCAAAGTTTCTATTTTGTTCATTTAGTGAAAATGTAATGTAGCAACAACATCAGAAAGAACAACTTGTATTTTCTTTGAACGACAATCGTTGTTGTTCATCAAGGAAATCTTGAAATTCGTGTGCTCGTGGTTGCACACTACCGTTTTTGGCTCGGATCTTTGGTTTATAAATAAATTTTAAATTCGATGTTTCTAGTCTCTAAGAAGTGAGAGTGAGAAAGAGAAAGACACAAATCAGTGAAACTTGACTTTTTCTTTTTCTTTTTTTTTCCGTGCCATCGATTTAATATCGTTAGAACAATGTAAATCTTCAACTAAATAATGTGTCGTATTTTATATTATTTATGTGTTTTGTGTGCAATGAATGTGCAATTACAAATTTAGTAACAAAAGGACATAGTTTTTTTTTATTTTTTTTTTATTTTTTTTTTTTTGGAGACTGTGATACAAACTGAAACAACAACAACAAATCTTTGTTTTTATGACTCTGTTAAGAGTAAGAAATAATAAGGAAATTGTTGAAAAAGAAATCAAATAAAATGAGTAGTAGAAATCGTGCTAGCAGCGGCTCCAGGTCAAGGAGTCGAAATCGACGTGGTTCCAGAGATCATGGTACATCATGGAAAATGTTCTATTTCCTCCTTTGAAATCACCTCATTAACACTTGATGATATACCACCATTTTCAGTATTTCTACCGCTATTCTAGTCAAAATGACTGGTGGTGTATAAACAAGAATGCTTTTTGAGCTTTGCTTTCAGTCTCTTTATTTACTCTTCAAAAATAACACAAAATGTTAAACAATAATAATTTTAATAGATAAATGGATTTATAGACATTCATTCAAAATGACTGGGGTGTCTGGTATATCTAGTGTTAAAAAGTAACAGTATTGTCTTGTTTCCGGCGCTTAAATTCATAGCTGCGCTTAGAGACGTCACAGTTTTCTAAACTTCCTTAATTAACTAAAAATATAATCTTGCAATATTTAGTATGTTACGTTACGCGTCTAATAGGCGTCTAGTAGGACAATCGAATGCGCATCGCCCGAAGAGACAATTCAGTGTGGGCCACCGGTGGTACACGCATGCGTAAACGTCTTAATAATGGTAATGGGGGTTTGAAGACGGTGGAGTGGTGGGAATAAATTCATATATCTAACAATAGTGAATCAATTTCTTGTGATATTATTCAACTATTTTGAGTTAAGAATTAATTTCAATATATACATATATTTATAGTTTAAATAAATCATTGAGAATATTTGTAAGAACATGAATTGGGTAAGGGGGAAAAAATGGTCACAAATTTGGTATAAACATTATTATAAAATACGTTTAAATAGAGAGAGAGAGAGAGAGAGAGAGAGAGAGAGAGAAAGAAAGAGATAAGTCCAAGTGTAGAAAATCAAACTATGTATGTGTTGTAGGTAGTGTGTATTCTTTGCTCTGTGTCTATAATTATCTTTGGCTGTTGGCCGGAATACTCACTTTTCTACCTTAGTTAGCCTGTGGGCCACTTCTCAATCCTTCTGCTATCGCAATAATTAACAATTTTTCTAACAACAATGAAGATAAATACTTTTTTTTCTTTTTTTTTTTAATAAAACAAACGTCTTCTCCCCTTTTTCCCCCTATGTAATATATACCAGTATTATTACCTGAAGAAATATGTTACTTAATTGAATTTTTCTTTTGTTTGTTTGTTTTTTAAGGTAAAGTGATGCAAAAACAAAAGAACAAGAATAAACTCAAGCCACGAGATTTGAATAGAAAGGGGGCCGAAAAAGAAGGCACCGATATGGATGCCTTTATGAATAAATTAGACAATAAAATAACATCTGCTAAGGAGACATTTGTAACGAAAGAAAATAAAGATTTTGCAAATATCGAAGAAAATGCTAAAGACAATAAGGACACGGATAACAAGGAGTCCTCAACGGAAAAAGAAACAACAACAACAATAACAACAACGACGACAACGACATCAAATGCTGTATATTGTAAAACTAGCAAAAACCCGGTAAGAGATGTTGAACAAGAAAGTAACAATGAACAGCTAGCTCAAGCAACTAATATTGAAAGAAGTCAAGATGACAAGGAGGTGTGTAATACAGAAGTATCTTCAAACGTTGAAGATCATTCACAAATTAATGTAACATCTCCAATAACGACGTGTAGTAATGCCCAAATAAAGTCAGTTCCTAATAATGATGTAGTTGATCATGCAATAGTTGTTGTTAAGGATAACATTGATGTAGAAACGATAGTTGCACAAAAAAATGAAGAGAACACTAAAATGTCAACGTTACAACAACAACAACAACAACAACAACAATCATCATCACCTGACGAAGAAAAAGTTGTTCCATCTGTGCCAACTGTGGAAAAATCAAACGAATCAAGTGAGCAGCAACAGCAACCACAGCAGCAAACGACACAACAATCCACTCCGACATCACCAACGACGGTTGATGCATCCAAAAATTCGATAACATTAAAGTATACATACAAAGACGATCAATGGAGTCCTATTAATAAAGATGGTAAAAAGGTTTATGATCGTGAATTCTTGATACGACTTCAAGATGATCCTAATAGTAAAATTAAACCTAACAATTTACCAGATTTAGAAGTTGTTTTAAAAGATAATAAGGTAAACAATTGATTTTATATACATATATATATATATGTGTGTGTAATAATTTATCATTAATTTTATATTATTACATTACGAAGATTATATTTAATGTTTTCCTTGTATAGAATCGCCCTCCAATGGATTTCCGATCGTTTAAAGATACAAGCATGAGCAGACCGGATTCGTTGTTCCCTGTATTTGTGAAATCATCGGGACTTGCACGTGGTGTGGTAAGTGTAATATAATAAGAGCGATACACATATTTTTCTATTGTAAAATTTAGTATAATAATATTATTTATAATGATGAATTATATGAAAAAATGAAAGTAGTGGACCGATGATTGAGTGTGACGGAAAATATATTGATATTCTGAATGAACAAATCTGTTGTATTATGTTTTTATATATGTGTGTGTTTTGTTTAAATAAGATTTTGTTAAATTTGATTTTAGCCACCTGCAAACCGAAAAAGTCTTCCACCAGGGAAACCTAAAACAAATAACCAAAAGAATATGATTCATCTTTCTTTATCTCTTCGAGAAGATGTAAAATTAAGAGAGACAGAAAATGCTTGGAAACCGGCTAGATTGAAACAACTCGATTTAAGCGAAGAAGAAGCTAAGACGTTACAATTATACAAACGTGTAAGAAGCGTCTTAAACAAACTTACTCCTCAAAAATTCAGCACTTTAGTAGATCAAGTTCGCGCTTTGAACATTGATACGCAAGAGAGGTTGCAAGGCGTTATCAACTTGGTCTTTGAAAAGGTAACAACATTGAAATTATAATGAACATCAAATAAATGATAACATTGATAAGACAAATCTTTTGATTAAACTATTATTTCTATTATTCAGGCTGTCGACGAACCCAGTTTTTCTGTTGCGTATGCGTTAATGTGTAAAGAACTAGCTATGATGGAGGCATCTGGCGGTGACAAAAGTGGCACTAAGCCGACAGAAAGTTCTGTTAATTTTAGAAAACTGATAGTCAGCCGATGTCAAAAGGAATTCGAAAAGAATCCACTTGATGAAGTTACGAGAACTAACAAGCTCAAAGAAATTGATGAATGTACCGATCCCGTAAGTTGATGAACTTTTTAACATATATATATATATATATATTTTTTATAAAATTGAATCTTTTTTTCTTTGATATATAATATATTTACACATTGATATGTGTTTGTAGGAAAAAAAGAAGGACTTGCTTCTTCAGCTCGAGGAGGAAGAACGTAGAATAAGAATTAAATCTGTAGGAAATATTCGGTAAGTAAAATTTATAATAAATGACGTAATAAAGGACGTAAATCGTTTCGAGGGGAGCTAATATCAAACAACGTTGCTTTTCATTTGTTATAGATTTATTGGAGAACTGTATAAACAAGGTATGTTAACAACGGGCATTATGCATCGTTGCATAGTTCACTTATTAGACCAAAATGACGAAGACAGTCTGGAATGTCTATGTAAATTATTAACAACAATCGGAAAAGACTTAGAATCCAAGAGCAAAATGGAAGTGAGTAATAAATACTTTTTTTATATTTAATTAGGATGATGATGATGATGATGATAATATATTGTCATAAACAAAACGTATATTTTTGTCAATAGGAGATGCAAGATTATTTTTGCAAAATGTCAGAAATCGTTAGTCGACGTGGACAAAGTAAAATCAGCTCTAGAATTCGTTTTATGCTACAAGATGTTATTGACTTGAGGGCGAACAAATGGGTGCCAAGGAGAGATGATAGTAATCCTAAAACAATCGATCAAATTCAGAAGGAAGTTGAATCGGAAAGGCTTGATACACAACTCACGAATACTCCATTGAATGCACCTAGAAAAGATGATCGTAATGCTGATCGAAAAAGAAATCGTTAGTTAAATGACATTTTTATTATAATTTATCATGTATCTATATAACTTAAATACTGACAGTTGTATATAGCCTTATAGTAATTTTCAACTATTATTTTGTAATATGTAGAATTTTTTTTGTTAATAAATTAAAATTTCAAATTTGGTAATTGATTAGTAGCAAGTAGAAACATAAAAAGATTATTGTAGTTGGTAATATATATATCTATCATGGCTTTTAACACAATTTTTTTGTTAATCTCAACTACAGTTTTTAATAACAACTAATATATTATTTATCTTAGATATCTAAGAAGTATTATTTAACAAATGAATGTTCGTATTGTAGGAGGATTTGGAGCCACCGATGAAGGTGGGTGGTGTCAAGCTGTAGGTAGAGCGAGACCACAAACTTATTCTGTTGAGACAGCAAAACTGAGACAAAAAACTGTAAGTAAAAAACTGTAAGTTAAGTCAGTCAATAAGAGACATTTTGTAATTTGTAAAAATAATCATTTTCTTTTCTTTTCTTTTTTTTGTATAGACTCCAGTAGATGACCTTATCCTGGGTAGTAGAAACTATTTTATGTGGAAAACTTCGACAAATAACACCAAAAATTCAACCAACAAGTTTGCATTGCTTGAAAATATAAATACTATTGAACAAGACAGAAGAATGCCTCCTCTTCCTCTTTCTGGGTACATATTACATTTTTCTTTTAATGTCATATTTTGGATCAATTGATATTTAGAATATGATGATTCTCCATTACAGACTAGAGTTTCTGAATTCTTCTTCTACTTTTTATGATTATCAAATTAATCTGAAGTTATATTTTTTCATATATATATATATTTCAAAAATTTCTTGTTCAATTATATTAAGAATTTTTCTGTTTTTCTTTTTAACAAATATATTAGATCGAGATCTACTGGTCCCAGGGATTACGGGCGGGATTATAAATCATCGTATGGTATGTATCATCAACAAATTATATTATTAATGAAAATGTTATCACTTGGCTGACCGATCAAAAAATGTTATAATTTCTAATTGAAATAAAATACAATGAAAAATATAAAATATATTGAACCCATATTCGGTTAGCTCAGTGTTAAACATTTATTTTTGGAAACTTCTTTAATCTATATGTATTATTTGACATGATGATAAATTTAATTGAGTAGAAAACCTAAGAGAGGTTTACTGATTTGTACTTATAGCCAAAAGGATACTGAATCAATATATCAAATGATTCATTATAAATATAATGTAAAAAAAGAACTAATTTGATTAATTGATAATTTGATTTTGTAAACAGATGGTAGAAGTTCTCGAAATGGAAGCCACCAATTAAGTAGTGGTGGGGCATCATCTAGTAGAGAAAGTTCATTATTAGACAATGCTCAAAGTCAAAGTGTATCTATGCCAACACAGTCTTTGAAGTCGTCGGCATCGTCGCCACCTGTGACTAGTAATCAAAAACCTCCATTATCGGAAGAAGAATTTGACAAAGTTTTTAATTCCATACTAAAAGATTATCTAAGGGAACACAGTTTAGAGGTAAGTTTCTATTTCAATCGTACACACAAAGTTTTCATATTTTCTACATATATATATATGCATTGTATATATATGCATGCCCCTTAGATCCATCTCTTTGACTTTTGAGAGATGCTTGAGTCATAGGCATGCTATAATACGCAATACCTTCTCTTTAATCCATCGTAGTAACAAAGTAAATTTATTTTACTATTATTTAGTGTTACTATAATTATTGAAGAGTGGACAGATCATTTATTTTAACATTTTAACATATTTTTATCACACGTGAACAGTGTTGTGTAATAACGTAGCATTATTTCAACGTATTAATTATGTTGAATTGGTTTTTTTTTTTTTTTTTTTTTTTTTTTTTTATTTTCTTTGCAAATCTTAAAAGCAAGTATTATATTATATGAATATTTATTTATTATTCATCATCGTTGTTTATCCTTTACAGAATGCTATCTCTGACGTAATTCAAACTTTCGATAATACCACGTTTACTAAATTCGTACGTGAATCAATTAACTACGTTCTTGAAAAATCTCCCCCTGAACGAGAACGAGTTTCACGACTTATGTTAGAGTTGATTAAGAAAAATGTTATGCCTTTACAACATTTGAAAGCTGGGTAAGTTGTTTATTAACATTATTATATTTCTATATATTTCAATTAATGTTGATATATGATGATAAAATTCTTTTTGAGAAAAGATAAAAATATCTTGATGTTCTTTTTATAGCCAAAAGGATACTGAAAATATTGACAAAGAAAAAGATTTCTTTCTTTATAAAAGTTCAACTATTAATAATCGTAATTGTTCTTCTTCTTTTGTTTCTAGATTCAGCGAAGTTTTGGAACTTGTAGATGACTTAATCATCGACATACCTAGGATTTGGACTTATCTAGCAGAAGTATTAAGTAAGTATATTATTTTTCTTAATAAACTGTACAATGCTTATAATGAAATAATTTAATATAATAAAATTATGATGACCTCATATAATACCATAGAAATACAACCATGCGGGTTTTTTTATAGCTCAACAGGCCTGATATGAAAATAAAATCAATAAAATGATTCGTTGTTATAAAATATATTATTCTAACCCAGGAATATTTGGTTCTTTCTTTATTTCAGCTCATCCATTAAAAGAAGAAATTATGCCATTATCTGAAATGAACAGTATATTTATAAGCTTAAAGAGTCAAGGTGGTGCAGGAAAACTTCTTGGAGAGTTATTAGCTAAATTATGTCAAGAAAAAGGATCCAAATGGGTTGCAGATAAATGGGACCAAAGCAGACTTTCAATAAATGATATTATCGATTCTGAAAGGGAAAGCATTGATAAGATTGCTAAGGAATATGTAAGATTATTTTGTTATTATAACAATTGCATTGTGTCATTCATTAATAGTAGTATTATGTTTCTTTAACTTATTCTAAATTATTTTTCCACTTTTTTTTTTCTTTATTTAGCACCTAGAATTCCTGATTGGAGATTATAATAGTGCCAAAAGCTCTAACAAAGACGAGCTTAGTTTACAGCAGATACACGAACATCTAAGAAAGTTAATGAAGGAAAAGTCTTTCGATCAAATCAATAATTGGATAACAGTTAGTATTGTTTTTTTATTTTTCTCTATGGATAACTACAAAATAATATATTTTTTCTTTTTCCTTTTCTTTTTCTTTTTCTTTTTTTATTATTATAGGAATTTGTGGATGATAGAGTTAAGGATCCAAAATTCATAAGAATATTAATGACTGCCATCTTAGAAACATCAATAGGTATATATTATCATTAAAATGTTTATATTTTAATAACTCTTACATTATTACAAACATTTACTCGATTTTCTTCTCTTTATAATTACAATGGATAATTTATATATATATATTTCTTTTTTTGCAGTATCGTTTAATGATACGTGGAAATTAAACGAAAACACATTCAGTAATTTACAAAATTTGATTCATCGGTACGTCGATACCGACGAAGTACTAGAATTACAATGCTTGTATGCTATTCAAGCTTACATGACAAAAATCGAATTCCCCTTAGGTAAGTGTTTGGGCTATGTTGATCTTTGGCAAAATAAACAAAACATGTATATCTCTTTTTATATAATTTGTATGTTTTATAATAATAGGCATCCTTCGAAGCGTTATAAACAAATTATCAGGGGACAATATTATATCCTCCGATGCATTTCTGGCTTGGCAAAAGGGTGAAGACCCAGCAGAACACGAAGGTCACAGTGTAGCGATTATGACACTGACTGCATTCTTCACATCTTTACAAGAAGCTGATGACAGTTCTAGTGTTGAGGACGGAACGAGCAACGTAAATTCCGATCACTTTTGACGGTGCATTGTCTTAGAAGGAATAAAAACAGGACATTTTTTTCTCGAGTAAACAAACAAAAAGAAGAAAAAAAAAACAACTAAAGAAAGAAAATGAATAAACAATTATTTACACATAATACAAATTCTTTCAAATGACTATTATTTTTTTTCAAATAGTTATTTGAAACACGCGACGGTCTTATCTAAAACTATATAATAATACAAAATTTTCAGAAAAGGAAACATAAAAAAAAGAAAAAGGGAAATCAAATCACGCGTGAGAGAGAGAGAGAGAGAGAGAGAGAGAGAGGTTTTTAAATGAAAAATAATATAATCGTCGTCAATTATTCAATTAATTGATTATTGAAGAAGAAAACGCCGACATTATATATAATACTATATATATATATATAGTATTGTCAAATTTTTATTTTTATTTGTTTACTTGTGCTTCATTATTTTCCTTTTTTTTTTTTTTTAGGCCTTATTATTTAAACTTTAAAACCATTTCAATGAATTATGTATAATAATTATCTTGCACATTTTTACCTCTGTACCATAATTATTAATTAATCTTTATATCATCGTTATTTATATAGCGTATTTTTTTTTTTTTTTTTTTTTTAAACACGGTTATTATATATTCGTTTGTATTTGACAATTTATCTTTTACTTCATTGATTTTTATAATCGCATCATTAAATTCTCTAGATTATATTTGTTACATTTATTATAATATTACAACACCTGTACGACGCACGCGCGCAGCTATCATTCGGTTGTATTCAGCCGCCCACCCCTCCCCCGGGTGTTTTATAATTTAAAACAAAAAAATGAAAGATAAGAAAATAAATTAGCTTATTTCTCGCAATATTAACTACTCTTCTAACAGAGAGAGGAGGAAGACGACACACACATTTATAAAATGAGCTAATTTAATCTTTTGTTTATACGGTCCTTTTTTCAATATTTCTAAATTTATTTCCAAGTTGTAAATTTTGCAGATATATTTAATTAATAAAATATTAAATTTCAAATATAACTTTTTATTTTATATCTCTAAACTCTTATTAATTGCTGTAAATGTAAATTTGTAACGTAATGAATAATTAATTTAATCTGTATAAAAAAGAAAAAACAGAAAAATAATCTATTCTTATTATTCTTATTCTTATTCTTCTTATTATTATTATTATTATTATTATTATTATTATTATGATTAATTATATTAATTATATATATATATATATATATATTAATGAAATAATTTTACTAGTTAAATTATTATGTTACTTAGTTATTATTGAATATTAAAATTAACTGAGAGTGTAATAACGTCTTAAATATTATAAACGAAAAGAATTTTTGTATTTTTAATAACAATATAAATTAATGGTATTTATATATACATATATGTATTGCTAATAGAAAATAAGATTTAAAACACATCGCCATTATTCCGGTCCGTTTATATAATGACGATACACACACACACACACACACATATTTGTACATAGATAAAGAAGATCATGAAAATTGATGCAAGATAATTATAATGATTCATTGAAACGGTTTTAAGATTAAAATAAATAAAGGAAGAAGAACAAAAGTAAATGAATAAAAGTAAAATATATATATATATATATATATATATATATATATATATATATGTATGTATTGAAAGAAAAGAAAAAAAACTTACTAACAAATGATTTTTCTTATATCTCGCAAAGTGTTTTCTGATAATGGTCGATCGCTAAAAAAATAATAATAACGGAACTGAAAATATGTTATTTCTTAATTATGGGAAAAGAAAACAACAAACATTTGGTTTACGAATTTTGTGTTATATATATTTTTACTTACACATCAAAACGAACGAAGAGAAAAAAGAAACATTTACAACAAATAAAACCAAAGTGCTACTACACACAATGATATTTAGATTATAACAAATTGAATGAAGACAAGAAATGGGGGAAAACAATAAAACCAGCCACGAGCGGTCAATTTTAAACGAAGAAAAATTTCCACGATTTTACGAAGCTCCGATGATAAAATAGATGATAAAAATCAAGTCTGATGATACGAATAACAAATACAAAATGTGGTTCTTCCTATTATTTTAAAAATAAACGTTATTATACATACACTCACTCAACACACACACCCACACACACACGGAAATATAATAATGTGTATATCTTTGAAGATAACAAAATGTATCGTATTAAAAAGAAGATAAAGAAGAAGAAGAAGAGAGAAATAGAAGCAGCAGTGTTCAAACGCGATATAAGTAAAAAACCTAAAAAGGAAAAAAAAGGAAAAAAAAAGATACACAGAAAAAATTGTAGGACTTTATATAGCCTAGACAAAAAGTGTGCTAATGAAGAGATCAAATAATGGAAGAAGAAGAAGATGAAGAAGAAGATGGTGATGATGATGATGATATAATAATAGTGCATATTATAAAAGAAATGTGATGTGCATATTAAGGCGCTATTTTTTAACACTAGCTATTTACAACCAATCTTTAAAGAAGAAGAAGAAGAAGAAGAAGAGGAGCTAAGTATAATTAGATGGGAATGAATCGTTTGTGCATCATGTTCCATGTGACACACAATACAAACACATATAACACACACAACATAATCGGTGCACTTTGGAATTGTATAAAACTAATTACTTATATCGATTATAATGATATAATGTGCAAAATGATTCTCTCATTCTCAAAGTATACAATAACATTTATTATTCGTATGAAATGGAAAAAAAGTAGAATGAAGAAAATTGGTTTCAATTGCAATTTATACGTATGAATATAAACAACAAATAATAAAACTCAACTAGACATTGGAGTATTATTATTATACGAAATGAAACGAAACAAAACTAACAAAAATACCAACTCATGTTTTGTCGATAATTGTTGTCCGCTTAAAAAAAAAAAAAAAAAAAAAAAAAAAAAAAACTGTCTATATCTCTGTATGCGAGAAAAAGCGTGATTGCTTTTTAAATTAAAAAAAAAAAAATAAAAAAAAACATAGCGGCAGCACACACAACACACAATCAAGACGGATGATGATAATATAAACGTAAAAATAACGAGATCAAACAAACGAAACTAAAAAAAAAAAAAAAACCATAACCAAGAAAATCGAATGTGCTTTTTCATTCCTTATAAAAGAAAAAAAAAATATATAGTTTATTTTAACTTTTTTCTACGGATTTGACTTTCATAAAATATGTGCATGTTCTAACGAAAGAACGGAAAGACTATGTTTAATTATCTCTTAGGATAATATATATATATACATATACATATATATATATATATAGTATAATTGTTCATATATATAATTAAATATGTTGTACATAATAATTCGCTGGAAATATTATTATTCTACGGCGACTCTCACGATGAAGAAAAAAAGGGGGTTAGGGGAGGTGTTTATTATTAAGGGTCCGACAGATATTATCATTGTTATTTTATATGTATATATATATATATATATATATATATATACATACATATGAAACTATACAAAGATTATATCTTATTTGTCACTTAAGGTAATTCTTAAGTATATTATTATTATATTATTATTATTATTATTCCTTTTTCGCATGTCAGCGGTTCTCTTCTTTCTTATATATAAGTTTATCATTATTATTATTATTATTATTATTATTATTATTATTATTATTATTATTATTTGGATAATGTAATTTTGTGTAGTTTTTTTCTTTTGTTTTTTTTTTTGCGTTGGAGAACCGCTTGTGCGTAATTGTTATAAATTAAATATCATTTTTAGCAATCGCTTTATTTTTTCTTTCTTTATTTATTTCTTTATTTCATTTCATTTAATTTCTTTTTTTTTCTTCTTAATATAATGTTGATAAATTTTTCTTTATAATTGTATAAAATATATTATAATCATGATATTTGTTTGTCATCGTTAAAAGCATGAAAAAAAGGAGAGGATACAAGTGATAACAGAGAGTAGTAGTTAGTTTATGAGAGAAACAAATGGACAAAAGAGATCAGATTTTTCCTCTTTTTTCTTTTTTATCTTTTTTTCAACTTCATCTATTGTAATAAAAATGAGTATATATTCGTTTGATCGAATTCGTAATAAAAAAATAAAGAAATAAAAAAAAAAAATCGTAACAGAGAAACAATGGCACCAGTGCTAATAAAAAAAAAAAAAACGATCGACAAGAATTTAGCATGATTATATAAAAACTACTTGCATACATACACCCACGTGTCTCTCCTTGAATGAACACATTCTACTTTATACACCTGGATAGAATGTATCGTTTGACGAGACAACCAACAACAACAACAAAATGTATAATTCAATTTCAAGAAAGAAATAAAAAAAAAAGGAAGGAAACAATAGGCGTGAGCTATAATATAGATAAATAAAAATTATACTAATTTATAATTAATTATATAAAATGGTGATGAGAGATGGTGATGATGATGATGATGATTAGGATAAGAGGACGTGTTTATTTATATAACACGTGGAATATAAATTGGATGCACAGAGAGAGAGAGAGAGAGAGAGAGAGATAGATAGATAGATAGAAAAAGAAAGAGTGTGTGAGATAAAAAAAAAAGGAGTGTATGAGAGATGGTAATTTAGTGTACATAAATAAGTAAATAATTAATTAATTAATTAATTAAATAAATAAATAAAATAATGTAAGCTCCGATTGTAAAACAACTAAATAGGCTGGAGATTGGTAGGAATGCGATTATGGTCTTTCGTATATCGTTATACATAAATAAGACCATCGTGCTATAAACAAATAACGCGTATGATGAACACTTGCATATATATATATATATAACATGTGTACTTAGGGGTACATATTTATACACATTAAAAAAAAAACATGACGATACACACACACACACACACACTACACATAATACAAGTGACACGCAAGAAGACAAATTTGGCATAATGATGATGAATATATATGTGTGTGTACATACATCATATATACATATGTATGTGTATGTATACATATGTATATATGTACATATATACATATTATATACATAAAAAAAAAATATTACTAGGAACTTATAGAGTAAAAACAGACGACGCGAGTATACACATAAAAAAAAACTTCTATAATAAATATGCCTATGGAAAAAAAAAATAAAAAAAAATGAACAACTCCATGCCATATCGTTGTCAATTTATTTTTTTGTTTTTCTATACGAACGTGTATGGGATTTGTAAACGTATATATATATTTTGACTAGAATTTATTTTCAATTTTAATTGTTATATATGTAGATAATAGTAGACAGGAAGTAAAGGAGTGTATATTATTTTAAAAGTAAGTAACAAAATAATCCCACAAATTTTGTTAAATTGGATTTATAATCTTTATTTATTTCTAACTTATTAACAAATCTAACTTTGACTAGTTGAAATCTTTCAAAAGGACGTTACTTATCAATTTAAAATTTATTTTTTAAATGAAATAGGAAAAACAATCATTATTTGCAGTAATGAACTTTCCAATTCCTAATGTCAATTAATAATAATAATAATAAAGTATAGAAAAATTTCAATAGAAAGGTGCATAGAGAACCGGTATAAATAATCTTTTTTATTGTTCATAATTACTTATTTAAATGGGGTGGGCGGGATGTACATTTTCTTACACCAGATAGCGCCACGGTATAAGAGTAGTGACCGATACGTAGATTATAGATACGACTATAAGTGTTTAGGTTGTTTCGTATTATTCGTATATCACCTTGTTACTATTAAAACATTTACATATCGGACGTGTTAACTTTAATTCTTATTTAAACATTAACGATAGTGATTTTATTTTTGATCTTTTTAAAAATATTGTTTTTTAGGTTATATGTGTATTAGAAGTAGTATTTTAATCGCACCACTTATATCCGATGATATAATGATGATTATGATGATGATCGTCATAATAAAGCAAAAAAGTGCAAAAGTGTATTAAAGATTGGAGAATGAATAAGTGTGCAAAATTATTAACAAATTATTAACCAATTATTAACAAATTATTATTTGAAAATACCGAATAAAAGGAATCGCGCATGGTATCGATTATCTCACGTCTTGAATCGTTTGTTCTTTGTTTTAAATATATAATGATCTCGTGACATGTACAAAGAAAAATTATTTAAGTTTTATTTTTTACCGAAACACCGTTCGTTCGATTGTCCTGTAAAATAATGAAAAAAAAAAGTTAACGACAAGAAATACATAATAAACGTAGGTAGACAAAAATATTGTCAATAATTTTTGGTTTAGTAGTCAAGAGTAATAATATTGTTCATTAAAATAAAAACAAACAAAATATACAAAAAAACAAAACTATTTGAACCGATTGAATTTCAGAGAGAAGACTGTTTATAGTGCGTGTGTGTATGTGAAAAATTCAGTATATTTAATATAATGTTGGTTAAACGCTCAACTTATTATATTTAACACTCGTGCACTCGTGTTGGTCATAAGAAAACGATCACGCGTTTAGCTATATATATTTATATATTCTTATTTAACGTTGTTTTTAATCATTCTACAAATTATAATGCGTTTTTAGTATACTATTAACAACGCGATATAGTAGAAGAGAGAGAGAGAGAGAGAGAGAGTATATTTTATAATCTGTTGTGTTGAGAGACCATCTTGAAATATATTTGTTCAGCCATTAAAAAGATGGCGCGAGAATGCACTGAGGAGGGTCTTGTGCTTTCAACAATGGTGGTAGGAGTTGAGGATCACGTGACACTTGCGTCGCAGGGCCGCTTGTCGCGCGACCATCCGAGGCCAGCCATTTTGATTAGTAACATGGCGTCAGCGGAGATTAATATGGCGTCCTCGGACATAATAACCGAAGTCGAGCCAGAAATCCAGGAGGTCGAAATTGAAACAATACCGGTTGAAATACCTTGCGAGACGGTGGAAACGACTATAGAAGGGGACGATGGGCAGCCGATGATCGCATTGCAACCATTACCTGAGCCAGGCCGTGAAGAAATCATTCTACAGACGCAAGAGGAAATCGTCGGCGCCGATCCGCTAAGCGTGTACGATCAAATACCCGTACCGGAGAACGATATTTATGTCGAATCGAGTCCTGGACCATCGAGAAAGGGTACGAAGAAGGCTAGGAAAGGTGGAGCTGCCAGATATCGTACATCCGATCACGCAATATTTGGTGAGATGGGTTCGGAAACGAAAACAAGAAAGTGGGAGCAGAAGCAAGTGCAAATCAAAACCCTGGAAGGTGAATTTTCGGTGACGATGTGGGCATCTGGTACTGATGATGGTAAGTTTTCCATTAATTTTCTTCTTCTTCTTCTTCTTCTTATTATTATTATTATTATGATTATTATTTTATTACTAAATGAATCCTCTTATATTGAATGTTATTTCTTCACAATTGCTTTTTATATATAAACTCGCCGCCTATCTGCTTGTGTTTCTAACGGCTATAATATACCCCAATGCACGACAGCGTTAACGTACTTCCGGTAGGTCGACCAAATCGATACTTCAATTTCGTTTGCTTAAGCTCAAAAGAATAACTTTTCTTGGTTTGCACGATTATTCCTTTCGTCGTAGTCACAACGTTGACAGTCTGCGTTGTTTGTTTTGATCGAAGGAACGCCATTATGCTGCCAGGGGGCAGCCATATTTTGAAAATGGCTTCTTTTGCTTAATTTACCTCTTGAGGAGTAAAATGGCGTCGGAATGTCGTTCTACGCGTAATGGAGCTCTTTCCCCCTGCCCTCTCTCTCTCTCTCTCTCTCTCTCTCTGCCCACTGCCCACTCCCCACTCCACACACCGTCCCTCTCTCCTATCTCTTTCGATCTTTAAATGCGTTTTTCCCTATATTCAATTTTCATTTATTTTTTTTCTATATTAATTATCGCGTCCTATTTCCTTTTTTCTTTTTTTCAGTATTTCTTTTTTTCTATTCCTCTTTTAACTTGTTTAGAATATCATCCTCCTTTAGTCATTGTTAACGAAAAAGATTATAACGCTATAGGAAAAAAGAAAATAATGAATGAAAAGAATTAAAAGAGTATATTTTTCAGTTACATATGAAAGAAACAACGTACCTTTTTTATATCCTTTCTTATTTGCAGATATTTTGATAACCTGTTAAGACGATCTTTATCCAAGTAAATTGATTAAGTATGCACAGACAGTTTTTTCTTTTTTTTTTTTCTTTTTTTTTTTTTTTGAAAATATTTAGAAGAAGCTATAGGCTATTAATTCATTTACAAGAGATTGAGAATCATTGTAGAAAGAATTTAATAATACATTAGAATAACGAAAGGTATCGTAATAATTGATGATTTATCCGATGTTACAGATGAAGGCTCTAATCCAGAACCTGATCCAGATTTCACTGAATATATGACTGGCAAATCAAATACAAAGTTTAATCATTCTGGAAGTTCTGTTTCCGATGGAATGCCTGGTCTCGATTTATCAGATCCTAAACAGTTAGCAGAATTTGCCAGACCTGGTCATAAATTGAAAGTACGCAAGCCACCCGTTATGGATGGCGTAGAACGCACAATTGCTTGTCCTCACAAAGGCTGTTCTAAAATGTTTCGGGACAACAGTGCTATGCGTAAACACTTACATACGCATGGACCTAGAGTACATGTATGTGCAGAATGTGGGAAGGCATTTGTTGAAAGTTCCAAATTGAAGAGGCACCAGTTAGTGCACACCGGGGAGAAACCTTTTCAATGTACATTCGAAGGTTGTGGCAAAAGATTTAGCCTCGATTTTAATTTGCGTACCCATGTAAGAATCCACACGGGTGACAGACCATATGTGTGTCCATTTGATGGATGTAGCAAAAAGTTTGCACAATCTACGAATCTTAAATCACACATATTAACCCATGCCAAGGCTAAGTAAGTTTAACACTTTTCTTTTTTACGACATTTTTCTTTAAATTAGAGATACATTTCGTATATTATAAACATGCATTATATCTATCTATATATAAATCGTAGATCGCGAAATACCATTGGAAGACAAGTACAACAAATTCAACTTCAACAACCTCAATTCGTCCAAGTGGAGGTTGCGGATGTGGATAATCAACAATTCATTGTCTATGCTGATTAGCCCCCCCAAATATTGATCTCGTATCCCAGTGAATCTATTATGGAATATCATAACCACTAATTATTAACATAAGCAGTGTAAATATTTTCAAGATACAGCAAGCGGCAAAGGAAAATCAGTCCGTAAAACTATTAGTTATGGTAAGAGAATGAGTTGTTAATTAAATAAATAATTAATACCTCTGTGCTTAGATATGGATTAACTAAAAAAACACAGAGAGTTATTGCGCTCTCCAAAACTCATTGATAAAAACAGTGTGTACTTTTTAAGACAATGCGAGGTGAAACGATGCACATTGCTCTGTGCTAAGTCAGACTTTTTAAAAAAAAGAAGAAAAAAAAAAAAGAAAAAGAAATCTAGTGCGCCGTCGTAATGTGTAACTGTACATATTTATAATTAAAGTAAAATATTGTATACAGTATATTTTGGAGAAATTCAAATGAAGAATAAACCCACAAAATACATTTGTTCTGTTAGACTCTCAATTGTACCATTTTAGTACAACAGATCTTGTACGCCATTTACCGTAATATTGTCGCGTTGTCGACAATAATCTCGTGTTAGTTGTATTATCCTAAATTTAAAAAAAAAAAACAAAAAAAAAACAAAAAGAAGAAGAAGGATGCATATTGTATTGTCAGCCTCGCAAAATGAATCGAAAGTTTAATCATCATTCGTGCAATAGTCATTTCGGAAATATGAAAAAGCTTTTAAAACAACGTACGAGTGTGTACATTCATAAAATCATATTTATAATTGTATTTTATGTGTTGTCGGATTGCAGAATAAAGCAATAGATATAGATAGTTTTAATATTAACTGTATTTAATAGTCTATGTAGCGTGCATTTTTCATTACACTATTATTCATAATAAATTGCATATCATAGTTTTATACATAGAGCAACACAACACATGCAGGCGGTTAAATATGCATATAATATATATATATATATATATAATTTAGCTTAATGACGATGATTATCGAATGGCGAAAAATTTTACCAACGAAACTTAATTTATAGATTTATAAATAATATTTGCTGTAAAGCACTTTCCTTGGGTACAATATGAATGTACTTTACAGAAATATCTCTATGGTTTTTTATAAATATATTCGTTTAACAGGAATAATTGATATAATTTGTATTTAGAAATGATAATTTTGAATACGAGCTTAAGACAATATTTTTTGCTATTATTATAGTTTTCAAGTATTTGCTCATATATTCAAAACTTATACTACATACATTAATATATATTTTATGTAGTACGATTTATAATATTGATAAGTTTTATATTTTAATAGGTTGGCTCACGCAGGGTGATTTTTTGTTTGTTTGTTTGTTTTTTTTTTTCACAATTATTTGTTATGTCTCGTCGTATTTTACATTATTAAGCAAAGCAATTTTTCAATATTGCTTGCTAATGGTGGTAATTTACTTGTTCATAAAATCTAGTCACGAAATTTTTACTAATTTGGTTTCTTTTTTGTTTTTTTCTTTTCTTTTTCTTTTATTAACTTTAGTATATTTTGTATATATTTCGTTATTTTAGCCTAGGCTTTGCTATGTATATCTTGCACATAAATTTGTTGTTTAGAATCGTTCGAATAAACAAAAGTTGTACTAAATGGTTTCATAGTATAAGCATAATAATTGAAAGGAATAATTAATCGTCGTCGATTTTTTTTATTTTTTATTTAAACGGTATATTATTAACTATGTATACATAGACTCGATATTAGGGCAAAAATCTATTGGCAAAAATAACTGAATAATATTATTATTTAAAGCAACTTTTGTCTATAAAAATAATACTGTTATTTCTAATTTATTTGTTTAAACAATAATGATCATTTGATGCATCAATCGAATATTAATATTTTCATTATTATATTCTTTTCTATTGTCTTACAAATTTATTAAATAATACATTTATTTAGTATTATTATTCATAATAGAAAGTAACAATACGATGTGTGACTAAATGACCAATTTTGGAAAAGGAAAGAAAGGAAGAAGAAATAGAGGAATAAGTTAATTTTGTTGTTCTTGTTGTTCTTGTTGTTCTTGTTGTTCTTGTTGTTGTAGTAGTTGTAGTTGTGTAGTTTTTGTTGTTTATGCGAATAACGTTCCAAGATTGTTGCAAATATTGTTGATTTGAAGTTTATTAATATCTTCCAGATCGACCATCTCTACCTTTGTCATCTCTTCCCTTTCGTCGATCCTTCGATCTTGATCTTCTATCCCTTGATCTTGATCTACGTTTTCTATCTCTACCACGTGATCTGGATCGAGATCTTGATCGGCCTTTGCCACCTTTTTTGCGACTATACAAATATCGTCGCAATTCACGTGAAATAGGTTTTAAGTGCATAAAATTACAAAATCCTGAACGCGTACACTCGCTGAAAATAGGATAAACACAAGGATTTCAACTATTATTAGTTTTAAGCGAATAGAAGATGTATTATTGATGATTTTGTTGGACATACCCCATTTCATATTGACGACAACAAGCTTCTCTGAAATCGGTTACAGGAGAAAGTTCAGCGTAAACTGGTCTTCCTCCAAACCATCTATTATTTAAATCGTTGACTGCTCTTTCGGCATCTTCCTCTCTTCGGAATTTGATGTACACATTACCGACTAAATGATCACCAAGGTTGTCACAAACATTCATCTCTTCAATTTCACCATATTTATCCTCACATTCTACAAACACATCTTCAAAAAAGTTATCGTAGTGTTCTTGCATTTCTTCATCTGATACGTTTGCCACTACTGCAATTGGATTAAAATATAACCTTAAGTAACATCAAGATTTTTCAATAAAGATAATATACTTATACATGTTTTTTTTTTTTATATTATTTTTTTTTTTTTTTTTTTTTTGAGTAGAAACGTACAATGAGAGCCATCTGCACTTTTTGCAGAATTTTGAGGATTTACATAAAGGTTTTGCAACAAACATGTCTAGAAAAGAAAAATATGATGTTGTTACTCAATTACATAAGTTATATACACAAGGGTTGATGAGCAAACAAAACAAAAAAAAAACAAACAAACTAATAAAATGAGTGTCTTGTACTTACTTGACTGAAAGTAGGTTTATTGTGAATTCTTGAACATCTATCACCGTGACGACAAGCACCAATTTTAAAATAAAATGAACAATTTACTCTAAAACAAACAATCAAATGTATCAATTAAGTGTTTAATATTGTATACAGAGTGTTAACTTAAAGTGTTAAAACGAAGCTTACTTGTCTTTTTCAGTACCAAATATGGATGCCAAATATTCCGCCATTACGTATTATTTCTTACGTTTAGATTTTAATTCTACAATCTAAACACGCTACAAACAACAGCTGGAATACATTGCATTTATCGCTCTTTCAGTTTATTATAAAATGGCGTCTTAGACCCAACCAGTCAAATAAATGGGATTGGTAAACGATCGAGTGCCATCTATAGATTTAAAAAAAAAACTATCACAATTAATACCATTCATCGATGTAACTAAAACTATTTGTTATTTTCCATATAAAACCTTTGAGAAGGCAACACAAAACATTAATTTCATATTTAAAAAGTACAAAGTGGCAATGATAAAAAATATCATAAATATAAAAAATAAAAAATATATAGAAAATTAGAAATACACTTTTCGTAGAAGAAATTTAATGTAGTTAGCACCGAGACCACCAGCTGGCGATTTCTACTGTCATGGCGTAAAGTACCTACTATCGCTCACTGGTGGTCACGATGCTAACTAACATGAATTTCTTATATAATGATTTTTTATAGAATTCTTTATTATTTGGATAAACGTTAGAGCGACATCTATAGATTTTAAATAAAACTTTTATAATTAATACCATTAGTCGATAACTAAAAGGATTATTATTTTCGATATAAATCGTTTGAGGGCACAACACGAACGTTAATTCGACATTTGAAAAGTAAAAAGTGGTAACTATTACTGTGTTCTACTTGACTGCCGGCAGGAAGAGAGATAAGCCATCGAGATATTAGATTGATGACCTTGTTATTTGATTATTTTTAAACTAACGTTCATATCTGTGATCGATTTTCAAAGTGAAATATATTTCTCCATATCACATAAATCATATATATATATATATATATAACATACGATCAACAAATACTCATACAACATGTGACAAATGAAATTTCATAAACTTAACGTTCAACAAATCACACAAATTTATCACATGCATTAATGATTATATAATTGATAATTAACAAACGATAAGGAAATGGAATAATAATAATAATAATAATATCGACGAAACAATGTTTTATATAATGATTAAAATCGCAACAAGAATGACGAGGTAACACGACAATTAAAAACTATGATTACTGTAATAATAAATATTGAAATATATCTACGATTTCTTTCACATTATTTCAGAATAGTTTTCATAATATATGCAAACATAAAAAAAAATATTCATCGTCTTGCAGTATAAATTGATGATGCATTTACATTTTTTTCGGATTATCAAAAAAATAACGTATTTATGCCATTTTAAAAAGGGAAAATAACATTTGAAGAGACGATCGAGGATGAAAGCTAAAAAAGGACAAAAATCAAGTTTTACTTTTATTAATAGAACATGAAACAATATTAAACAATAACAATGTATAACAATGTATAATATTAATTGTTTTTTCTTTTTTCCAGGCGAACAAATAAATCTCTTAAGTTACAAGGGGGAAAAAAGAAGAGGACAAATAAGTATATACGTGAATTTTTTCATTTAAAACGTTGGACACACATGCAGGGTGTATCCATGATGGTGGAGGAGGAGAAGAAGAGGAGGAGGGACAAGCGTTAGGACGACTCTCGAAAGGTTCAAAGAGGGACAGGGATTTTCGTTCGAAGGAAGTAGAATGAAATATAAAGCTAGTCCCCCGTGGAAACTGGACGCGTATGTGCGTATGTGCGCTCGCGCACGCATTCGTGCATGCGTGCGTAAACCATAGGGTTGTGAGTGAGAGGTGGTGGTAAAGAAGAAGGAAGGAAGGAAGGAAGGAAGGAAGGAAGGAAGGTAGGAAGGAAGGGAGGAAACACACAGAGTGACAGAGGAGACGGGTCGTAGACGTAAGCGAGAGAACGCTAGATGATGAGGTAGAAGAGGTGGAGGTAGAGGAGGAGGAGGGTGAAAGGGTGAGGGTGAGGGTGTGGGTAAGGGCAAGAGACGCGAGGAAAACGAGGGCTGCCAGAAGGTACAGTGGCGTGGCGGGGGGTTGAAGAGCCAGGGAGGAGTAGGGAGAGGACTCTGCACCGCGACGCTACGGGGTGGTTGCCCTCGTCTGCGCTTTGTGGGAAATGCCCGCTCAATAACGCGTAGGTCCTCTCGTCTGCCCCTTCTCACCCTCGGAATCATCACGGCAAGGGCCACTGCCCCAAAAGGCACGGCTACACCCGTCGATTTACCCTTATCCCTATCTCCTTTCCTTTCCTTACCTTTCCTTTCCTTTCCTTTCCTTACATCTTCTACACCCTCAACTTTCTTTCTATCCTCGACAGAGCTTTTGACTACTACTACCTATCTGCTTGCCTGCTTGCTTCCTTGCTTGTCTACCTTCCTACCTACCTACCTACCTACCTACCTACCTACCTACCTACCAACCCTCAGTTTTCATTTCTCCTCTTCTACCGAACAAATCACCCCCAATGTGTGTTGAAACCTTTTCGTACCCTGCTCTTTCATTCTTTCCTTTCTTCTTTCTTTATTCCTTTCTTTCTTCTTTTCCTTAGGTAGTTTGTTTTTTTCCCCCCTTTTCTCTCATTCTACTCTCTCCCACAACATATATTTTAATGCTGCTGCTGCTGCTGCTGCTGACCGAAGCAGCTCAAAGCAACCTGCATCGATCCGTTGCCCTTTTTTCGTACATTGTGGAATTATTGTAAATGCATCTTATTCGATTTACCACCACGGTAACGATTCATTTCCCCTGTCTTGTATTTTTTGCGAGACCCAGACTATGACGTTCTTCCAATTACTCGAACTTTCACCTTTTCACATTTGACGAAAACTTCTAATTCCTTTCAAATAATCTTGAGATTTTTCATCAAACTATTTGATGTAATTTTGAACGAAACGATTGAAACTATAGAAACTATAGAAAATCAACAATATATTTCTATCCTTTAGAAATAATTGAATTAATATATGTCTTAGCATTGGAATATAAAGATATTTCATTTCTTATTAATCTTAATAATGGCACTAACATTTATTATAAATACGAATTATAAAACGAATAAATCATTGTTTTATTCGTGCGTGTTATCGTAGGAAAAATACAAAAGTGCGATTACGGTTTTCGTAGCGGATGCCGTAACGGTGCATCCAGGGTCTCCTATCGGATCAATAAGCGTTCTTCTTTTCTCATAAAACGCATATAATACCCTCGTGAAATATTCTTGGTCAATCTTTTACCAATCTCCCACCACTCCTCTCCCTCTTTCTTTTTTCAATAGGTCTCATTTCGTAGATAAATTCAATTGAACGAACGGTTACAAGAATACAACATTACAAATGACTTTGTTCAATCAATACATTGTATATCTGTATATCTGTATATAGAATTGTAGTGTTATAATAGTTAGTGAATGAAATGAATTTATTACAAAATTTCTCAGTACGTGAATCACATTTTTCATATATTTCATAAACGAAACGTTACAGTTGATAAGGCGGCTAACATGTAATACGAATTGTTATACAGTAGGGGATCATCATTTGAGAAATATGATAAATAATGATATTAATGGTAAATACAATAGGATTGATTTTCTTTGGTATCATTCGACACAAATTTGGAATCCATGTTTATTCGCATTTGGATAGTTATATGATGGTGGTATGCGTGCAGATAGATGATACATAGATACCAGTCGCCTGCATCTATTTATATCGTCGACGAACCACGGTGCAACTGACCGTGTGGCCTTGACTTCCTGTTGACCCGACTGCCCCTAGGGAATTTTGGCGTACTCATTGGATTTCTGGGGACGACGGCTACGACTACGACTACGACTACGACTACGACGATGAAGTTGAACGTTGAAGTTGAGGCTAGGAATCGATGCACCACACGGTATTTTTTTTGTCGAAAGAACAGGATTACCGTTCACGGAAAACGTGTTTGTTAGATACCAATTTCAATCTTCTGTTATCAACAGATATATATTGACATTAGTAGCGTGCATGTTCATAGGTAACTTGTCCAACGATCAACATGAGTATCAGTTGCGTTATCTCTTTTTAAATTGATATATCCATTTATATACTCACACTAGGATGCTTCGGTCACGAGTTACTATGGCTTTATTATAAAAAAAAAAAAAAAAAAAAAAAACGTTCAATTATACATGTATAATTTTAAACTATTTAATGCAGTCAAATTAATGTTCACTAATAATTTCTGGGAATTCAAATGTAGTACATATTACATAGAATATAATGATATTTATTAAGATTCAATTGTTTAATTGTTCTCATGTTATTGGCAACAACCAATAATATAAATCTTCCAAAATGATTCATAATTTTAGAAATGTTCCATTATTTTGAAATTATTATATTAGTATTGTTAGACACTAGGACAGATAAAAATAATGATTTATAGAAGATAATTATCGATTACTACTATCACAATTGCTTTCTAATTGGAAAAAAATGAGAGTATGAAGGACAAGAGTTGATAAAGAAGATAAGAAGAAGATAAAGTAACTTGAAAACTATATGACGAATCTAAGGATGTGGTATTGAGGATGTCAAGGGATGAAAGTTTACGATCTTGACCTTGTGCATGGATTTGTAATGAATGAGGGAGAAATTGAGAGTGTGAGACAGACACGTGTAACGACATCGTTCGAGAGCTTAAAACCTTTCCATTTTCTTACTTTGTTTGATTTTGTATTCTTCTATGATCGATAGAAGATAAAAACAATTGACAAGACAATCAAAAACGTACGACCTCTTGGAACATGATGCGATCCTGTTAGGAATGAACAATTTGTTGAATTTTTCAATAAAATCTTGTTGAAACGTTAACAGGATAACATGATTGGCAAAGAAGTGGCGGCAGGCATGAGAAAAAAGAAAAGAAACAAGATCATGTCACCTCTTTGGTGGTACATCATGTTATCCTGTTGGAATATTTTTATTCGATGGAAAAATTGTAGACGCATTCCTAACTATTTTTCATGCTACGTATATTTTTTCTTAACAGACCGCATCGTGTTCGTCTTCCAAGCAAAGATTTATCGTATTAGATTAGAGACGATTCATTTGTATGCGTCATCGCATATTGTATCTTCTAAGTATCAAAATATTTAACGAGGTACATTGTTCTCTTCTGCCTTTGTCCGATATATATATATATATATACAAAAGTATATATGATACTTGGAAACGTAAGAATAAAGAACAATGACAATAATCATTAAGACGAAGCGCTTTTATCAGTAAACTAGATAAAATACTAATGAAGATATTCGATAACAATACAAAATAATCTATTATTTTCCTAATTTATTTGATTGCTCAATTCTTTTTATTGTTTTTTCATTAAAATAATTAACGTTTAAAATATAATAAATCACGATAGCTTGTACTTTTCAAATGATAAACAATTTGATCATTTATTTCAAATGATGAAATATTTGCAAAATTAAACTTGTTAATTAATTTAAATTAAAAAATATGTAAATATTACAAAAGCAAAGATTGCAAAACTTTTTGTACAAAAAGAAGAAAAAAAAGGTATTCTTTATATAAAAACTCAAAAGAACGAATAAATGTTTATGCAATAAAAGTTTACAATGAAACGTTAGTCTGACATCGAGGAACAAGGCGCGAGAAAGGTCTGCTTCTGGTTACGTCAACGACCTATTAACATTTTCGAAACGGTCGTAAACGCGGCGGTTCTCAAAGTATGACTCCGCTAGAGTTTACTCAAAACATACTTATAATAGTAATCGTCCAAATACAATATATTTCATTAGATCTGTCTTTTCCTCTCTTCCTCTCTTCCTCTCTTCTTTGTTCTTATTTCTCTTTAAAAACGTTCAAAACGTTTAAACAAATGCATTGAAACAAATTTGGAAGATCTCTGTTATATTAGATCAATCCTCACAGAAGTAGTCAAACATTATAATATCTAAAGAGATTCGAGAAGAGGACAATATTGTCGAGTTGATTTTTTTTTTTTTTTTTTTTTTTTTTTTTTTGAAAAAGAAGAAGAAGAAGAAGAAAAGTGTGCGAGGAGAGGAAGTAACGAAAAATATTCGGTTCCACCAGGTCCTACGCCATTCGGTAAGGAATCTCAAGCCGATCGCAAATATGCGTCGCATCTTCCAACTGCAGTGCTTCGCGACACTGGATCGACCAATCGGCGGGCTTTAATTTTTACTGATACAATGGCGAAAACGAAACAGAGTGAAAGAGAGAGAAAGAGAAAGAAAACTTGCCAACCAGCCAGCCAGCCAGCCAGACAGCCAGACAGACAGACAGACAGACAGACAGACAGACAGACAGAAATAAAGAAAGATGAAAGAGTAAAACAAAAACGCAAAAAGTTTCTAGCAAAACGCAAAGAGAAATTCGTTTTGGTTGTGCTATGGACATTAAGGTCGCATCGAAATAACTGCGAGGAAAATCGATTTCGTTTAGCCGCGTATAGTAAAGTCGAATCGACAAAAGTCAACGACCACTAACTAAGGGATTTTGGAGGGAAGGTAGAAGAAGAGAGGGCAACAACAAAAAAAAATCTCTCCTGACCTCGAGAGGGAGTATAAGTGAGCGAGGTCGTTCTACGATCGATAACGCGACTTTCTCGCGAGAGAAGGCGCGACCAAAGTTCTTTGAGCGACGACGACGACGACGACGACGACGATGACGACGTACGACGACGTACGACGACGACGACGACGACGACGACGACGACGACGACCACAGGGCCGTGGGATAATCGATCTTGCCCTACGACGAAAGGAGAACCCTCCTATCTATCTATCTCTCTCTCTCTCCCGCTCCCTCTCCCTCCCTCCAAGTTTTCCTCTTCGCTCCCTCTACTTTATCTTTCCCTTCTCCCTTCTCTATCTCCCACTCTCTATATAGATGTGTGTGTGTGTATACACATACATATCTTTCTCTCTCTTTCTCTTTCTCTTTCTCTTTCGATTTGGCGCGCAGCAGACAAAGCAGGATTTCCCTGGACGCAAGGTTCTCTCTCTGCTGACATGACAACCGCGACACATCGCGTTGCAAGGGAGTCGACGTACCTCTCGAAGGACTACTCTCTCTCTCTCTCTCTCTCACTCCTCCTCTCGAACATACATTTTTCACGTAGAATCGTGGTGCCCAACGCACCACACGTAGCCGTATAGAACGAAGGGACTTTCGTAGCGGGATGATGATGAGCAACGTACCCACCCGCGTCTGCTACTTCTCTCTCTCTCTCTCTCTCTCTCTTTCTGTCTCTTCCCCTCCCTCTCACCGCGCATCCATGCCCTTTTCATTCCCTTCATCATCGTGCGTCGTCCTTCGTTCCATCTCATTCTCCTCCCCGTTTTCTCATTTGCTCTTTCTCTCCAATCGCTCGTATTTCGAATGCGTCTCCCCTCCACTTTCCTTAGACTGTCGTCGTCTCATCGGCTGGCTCGTCAAAACATTCGGCCATCTTCGGTAATGTTCGGATATTACAAACAGTTCTACCAATTGTGACAAACTAAAAGTCATTTACTAGATCTCCGAAGTCCTGATTCCATTTCCATTAGTAAACAATTTTGTCCTATCTTCGTTCGAAACAATATAATAGAACAAAATTTTTTCTCTCTATTGGTGTCTCCATTTCTTTTTCTGTTGTCTTTTAACGAGTTCATGATTTTCCATGCGTTTTGGAGTGGCGGCCATGCAGACAGGTGCGGCCACTAAAAGTCCACGGATCAGTGATAGCGAATGCAACGCCACCATACGACGACTCTTTTTCAGTGTCGGACAAGATGGGTGAATCTCACCGGGCAGTAGTCTAGACTCTACGTACAAGATAACATACATTTAAATGTTTCCTAACGAAAATTTACAATTAAACATTGTAATTTATTTTATTATTTAAACGGGAAACTATATATATATATATATATATATATATACATATATATATATATATATTTTTGTATTGTGTCGTTATATTTAGTAGTGATAATATTTCGGGAATATCGTAAAGACTAGTAGAGGAAAAAAGGAAATTCCTAAAGAAGAGAGATTTTGAGAAGAAACGACAGGGGTCGGCGCGAGTGGCGAAAGAAGAACAAACACGCACGCACGCACGCACGCACGTACGGACGGACGAAAAGAGACCGATAAAGAAAAGTACGTCAAATATATATCAAATAGTGCTACAGTTCGACGATAAAGACGTAAAAGGAAGCATAGTGGTGCTTGATATATAAACGACATACAAATAAGAAGGCTAAAATAATAATCGTAAACGGATCGAGGTGACATTGCTGCGCGACGCCTAACTAACCGACGAAGAAGACAGTTACAAAAGCGCCGCCACAAACTCTACAGTGTGGAGACAAATCCACACAAGGAAGGTTGGTTTAATAACAAAAACGACGAAGAAAATTAATCGTCGTCGTCACATTTTAATAATTAAGCCGAAAAAGTACGACGGATCGTATCACGAAGACCCAACTGGCCGTCGCTAAGGCTCAAATCGGCGGCCAAGTAGGCGGATAATCTCGCGTAGTTTCGTTCTCTCTCTCTCTCTCTCTCTCTCTCTCTTTCTTTCTTTCTTTCTTCCTTGCAATTCGTTCGATATCTTTCTTTCTTTTTCTTTTTCTTTCTCACACACTACCTATCTTTCTTGCGCTTTCTCTCTCTCTCTCTCTCTCTCTCTCTTTTGCTATCTCTCTCGTACACGTACACATAGACACGTACGCTACCACTCTCTCACACTACTAACATACCTCTGTCTATCCGACACGTTTGGCCTAAGTTCTCGGCCGGTGTTTTGTGCGTGTGTTAAACAACGACATGGAATAAAGTGTAAAAGAAGTATTAGTAGTAGTTTAGCGAAGTAGTGTGAAGTGTGTGTGTATGATTGACACACCCTCTTAACGTTCGTCATTCGTTCGCCGCATCGCCATCATCGTTTGGCTTTCTCTTCTAACCACCCCTTTCTTCCTTCATATTTTTCTCCCTCGTTTATCATTCTTTCGGTTTTAACGTATATTTCATTCTCGCATCCTCGCACGCTCACGCATCTTGCGCGCGCGTACGCTTTCTCGAGTTCACAAGAGAGAGAGAGGGATACGCGATCGAGTCGTATACCTATACACACACACACACATTCTTACAGCTCATCGATAGCAGTAAGTAGAGAGCGCGTTTACGCTCGCGCGCGCAGCTCATTCCTCGCCCCCTTTGCATGGTCCTATCGCTCTCTCTCTCTCTCTCTCTCTCTCTTTCTTCCTCCCTTTCACCCCTCCTGCCCTCCGTTGATACCACCATCGCCCTTTCTACCGTTCCTCTCCCACTCCTCGCTACGGTGCAAAGTGATTTATCGTTCTCGCTGGTCGCGTTCGGTTTCGTCGGTGCGTTAAAGGCTCTATTGTGATCCCGTAACCATACGCGCCGTACCACTGACGTCTCTTCTTCCTCTGTACCCTGCATCATTCCCGATTTCGTTTCTCCAGACGATAGCTTTCCATCTAGCCTGTGGCGGGATACCACGCGTCTCGTCTCGTCTCGTCTGGTCTGATCTCGTCTGGTCTCGTCTCGTCTCGTCTCGTCTCGCCCATCCTTTTCTTCTCCTCCATCTTCTTCTTCTCCTCCTTCATCACCACCATCATCACCACCACCACCACCACCACTACCACCTTCCCCTCCTTGTACAGTGTTCGGCTGTATCCCCCTCTTTCTGGCGCGACTCCCCTTCCCACCGTTGCCGCTAGCCCCCTTCCCATCTGTCTCTCTCTCTTTTATTATCGGTCGTGCGATCAGGGGGAGTGCGACACGAGATATACGACATTCCGCTGAGCCGTGTGACGGTGCGCTCTCGGCCGCGTCGTGGTTCGCGTGGCATCGAAGGGTGGTGGAGAGCGGGCACGTGAACCAGCTACATCTTTTCCGTGTACGTAGAAAGCAGCAGCGAAGCCGAGGAAGGTGTGCCCGAAGGAGTTGTTTCCTGTTATTGCTGTCAGGGAGGGAGAAAGGAAGGAAGAGCAGCAACCAACAGCAGCAACAGCAACGCGGCTAGCCAGCCGGCAACCGAACCGGACCGATTTGCTAAGACGAAAGTGCACGCTCGCGTGTGTACGCACTCTCTACAGTTACAGCAGCGGGTACAGCAACCACCACCACCACTATTACTACTACTACTACTACTACTACTACTACTACCATCGCCACCTTCATCAAACATTATTACTACTGCTACTTGCTACTTGTCTAGTGTACTACTAGTAGCAACTGTAATTCAAACTACTTCATTATTATCAGAGCATCATCGTTTCGAGTCTGATAGAAACTACCAACCACTAGCATGTCTGTCAGAATGGAAAACAACGTTGCTCCGCCAAGGAAAATTAATTATAAGATGATGGTGAGTAGCAATCATTTGCTCTTTTTCTCTCTCAATCTCTATCTTTTTTTTCTATACTTTGCTATTTTATCTCGAGCCCCTTTAACTCCCTCTCTCCCTCCCATCTACTCCCGCCTAAGAGAAGTACAACCGCGTCTCATCTTTGATCGAACTGGACGTGTGGTTCGTGGTGGTGATGATCATCGTCTTCTCGTCGTCGTCGTCGTCGTCGTCGTTGGTAGTATCCTCGTTGCGTTGCCGGTCGCTTGAAGGCGTGCGCTACCGCGTGTCGTCGTCGCGTGCGCGCGCGCACGCGCATGCCATGCCATGCCATGCACAAACGGATGAATGCCCGTCGTATATTTTTACGTACATGTGTTGTGTGTGAGTGTGCTGTTCGTACGCTCCCTACGCCGGCGTCCGTTGTTCATCGTCATTGTTCATCGTCATCGTTGCTACTGTGTGGGTGGTGTTGTTATTACTACTCTACTGTTAAAAAACGAACACGAAGGGGGTTCTCTCCGTGGAAAACACAGTTTTACCATGGAGCGGCTGGTGGCAGCCATGGAACCGGCGTAGTTTGACAATTTGCCGCGGGGTGTCCGTTGCCCCACCCAAGCTCCTCTTTCGTTCTCCCTATCTCCCACTTCTCTTATCTATGTTACTACTTCCGTAAAACTTAACCTAACCGCACCATTCCTTTTTGCACTCCACTCTCCCGTGCCTGCAAGTCTTTTTCTCTTTACATTCGTGTGATCTCTCTTCCTTTATTTTCATTCTTTCTTCTCTCTATAATGTTTTATATTCGCGAGATACACGATCGGTTTGTTTTTAAGTAACAACAAATTCTACTTGTTGAATTCTATCAACAGCAATCCATTTTTGGTAGTCGCGTATATTCCTGTTCGATTTAATTTTCAAGTGAAACCATCCAATGATATTTTTCGTTTAAAAAAAGGAAAAATCATGACGGCATTTAAAACTGTAATCGTCAATCTAAAATAAGAAAAAAAAAAAGAAAAGAAACGGGAGACGAGTTTCGTTGATACGTCAGTGTTGTCTCAAAAACGAAAGGGGATCGTTCGTTCTGATTGGACGGATTTGAAATGCATTCGAAGATGCGTTTCCTTTCTATGTGTATGTGATCCATGCCGCGCGTTTGACTACTCCTCCCTCCTTAAGGTGAGGAGGTCAAATTTTACCTGAATCGATTTTCTGGTTTAATCGTTATTCATCAAATTCATTTTCTACCAATTAATATACGAACTGAAAATATATGATGGAATAAAACATACTGTTATTGAACTATTTTCGAGCTCGGTTAAAAATTAACGATAAATGGATATGTAAAGTTTGAACGTAAAATCTCGATAAATGTTCCCATATGTTAAAAATCTATCATGGTTATCATCACATTGACTAGTGTCTATTTAAGAGGAAATAGATTTATCATATATTTATGTTATCCTTACCGTTAATTGACTTATCTCGAAAGAAAGAATTTTGAAGAACACAAAACAGATTACCACCTTTTATATCGTATTTTGAACTTTGACATATCTTAATAGTGTTGTCTGCTAAATGATATTTTATATTAATGATGTCGCTTCGAATTTGGCTTTTTTTCTATTGTACTCTCTTTAATAGATTGTGTTGTAAAAAAAAAAAATCTTGGAATTCTTGTTGTCGTCGTCTCTTCTTTCTGTTTGAGCAAAGAGAGACAAAGAGACCAACAAAACAGAAACGTCTGTCTGTCTGTCCTCTGTGTGTGTGTGTGTGTGTGTGTGTGTGTGTGTGTGTGTTGGGTCGTTCATCGGCCTTGAAGTGTGTGAAGCGTGCACTCTCGGAAATGAATCACGAACGAATCTACGTTGTTCTTTGTTCGGTACTAATGTGGTTATATCCCAAAGCGTTTTCTCTGCATTTCCATGTTGTGTTGTTGTGTTCTACTTTACACCCGCATCCCAATGTAGAGATACTACATTCCGCGAAGAAATAATCTTATCGAAGCTATATAACGAATAAAGAAACTTTCAATATGATATCCTTATTTTCCTCGTTTCAATCATCCTATTCATAGAGTTGTACTACTACTGTAGTCATATTATTAACTACTCTACATTATACACGAAATGATATTTGTCAAGATTTTGTTATTAAATGTACAAGAGATATTCATTCTTTTGAGATTCTTAAATAGCATGACCAATATATTTATTTTCATAGAAAATTTCTTATCTATATATTTCTTTCTATATTCCTAACGAAATATCGTCGTTACTTTCGTCATTTTGATATAATAGTGGTTTTTCTTTTTTAGAAAATCTATAAAGAACATCCATGTATAAGCAGGTGAAAAAAGATACAAAAATATAAAAACCCAAAGACCACCGGGGTGGTCTTTGATGCGCGTTGCCATGGATATCACACGGTATTTCGGAATAGGATAAATTTTCCCTTTTCGCGCATGCGCGATCATCATTAAATCAGTCATGGATGTGTACGCATGCGCCGTGGAAAAGAGCGCGGAAGTAAAAATGCTGTTGCTGCTGCATAAAAGTGATGATAATGTGCTTTAAACGGAATAATAATTGTATTGTTATGAATAAGTTACGTGTCGAATTTTTGAATAATAAAAAGGATTGTTATAATTTCGAATGAAATGTAGACCAATCTTTTTTATTATTGTTTCATGTCTGAATATTCCAAACACAGCATTGAGACGCGCATTCACGTAAAGGAGGACTTGCATGTGAACAACAACGCACCCACGCGCGAAAGAACGCGTGCTAGCACGCACACCCGGATGCCATTCACAAAGTTCGCAAGGCGCTATCCACAACGGTATCCGGTGACGTCACTAAAGTCAAGGTTGTCTGAACCTCTCTCTCGCGCGCTCTCTCTCTCTTTCTCTTTCTCTTTCTCTTTTTCTCTCTATACGTTCCTTTATTTCCGTTGAACTCCCTCGGGATCGATCGTATTTTCCCGCTAGTCACACATTTCGTTTTGAAAATCGGCCTTTCTTCCAGCCAACAGGGGACCTGTTAATATTTCAACCAATTAGATTATATTTACTTGGACCAATAAGAATATACTTATCGTAACGTTAATTAGTATAATAATAATAATAATAATAAGTAAAATATTCTAAATATACGCACATATAATAGAAAATATTAATATATCAGTATTTTTCTAATGATCTTTTTTTTTTCTAAAGCTCGCGCTTATCGAAATTTAGTAGTTGTCTTGGGGAAAGAAAAAAACTATAGTTACCCCACTTGTTTTTCTAGTTTATGACCGATAACCGTCTCGTAACAAGAGCGAGTTCCCGATTTGGCGGCTGAATTGTATGTCCGAAGCGTGATCTAGACACAAAGTTCAAGGTCTATGGCCTAGATGTGTACACGTCAAGGTCCCTCGCGTGCCATTTACCTTCGTCGTTCCATCGTGTGACGCACGAACGAACGAACGAACGAACGAACAAACGCGCACTCTCTTCTTCTTCTATCGACCTTTTATTATTTTCTCTTTTACGTAAGCTGCGAAAAATGGTGATATATGATGATACCTACCCTCTTCTTTATGTTATATCATCAAAATGAAAGATTCTAATTAAATATGTCAATTACTATTCTTACTTGGAATGTGAATCATAATTCATTCACAATTGTGTGTGGAATATTATGATATTATACACAGTTGTACCCAACATGAGGAATATTTATACACCCCTACAGTCAATTTTTAAGAACAATTAATATTTTCTTGTAATAATATATTATTTGAAAATTCTTCTATACGCAGATAATAAAACATGTATTAGAATTAAACTGTTCAATTGAAGTTTATAATTTGAAAACTATTATAATAATAGTATTTTTATCATTTACTTGTACATAGATACAAATAAATCTTGTTCTTGTGTAGAAGAATTTGAAAATTTGCAATCAAAAAACAAATATAAATGATTAAAAATGTATAAGGTGGGAACTACAAGTACGAATACTTCTGTGACCGGTTGTACAAGATTTTCATTTCTCTTTTAAAATACTACACTACACAACAAGTGTTGTACAAGAGAGAAAATATCTTTCACGCTATTTCTAAAAGAACCAAATAAATAAAATAATCTATCAATTAATTCTAGTGACATTTTTTCACTTGAAATATTACTCAAAATCACCCACCCCTCTTATTACGAACGTGTTATTAATTATTAATAAATCTTAAAAGCTCTACAGACCCATACATGGATATATATACCTAATATTTATATATATATATCTACGCGATGTCACGATTCAAAGAGAAAGTTCGATATCGATAAAAAGAAAAACGATGTTGTACTCTGCGGTTTAAAAAAAAAAATCATAAAAGCAGAGAAACCATATCCGATATAATATATTCAACCATTTCAAAAAATATCAGATTATATTATTATATTTGTTAATTCGAAAAGTATCTNTATCTCTTATAATGAGAATTAATTAATTAATTAATTAATTTAACACTAGATATACCAGACCAGTCAGTAGTCATTTTGACTGGTCGGGCCATTTTGATATAATATATTCAACCATTTCAAAAAATATCAGATTATATTATTATATTTGTTAATTCGAAAAGTATCTCTTATAATGAGAATTAATTAATTAATTAATTAATTTAACACTAGATATACCAGACCAGTCAGTAGTCATTTTGACTGGTCGGGCCATTTTCATTCAAAATTTCTACTTCATGTAACATTTGTACACAACATTGTTCATCACACATTGTTTTCACGATCATTTAACACACGTAATTCTCGTTGAACCACCCTGTCCGTACATAGAAACAGGTAGAGGCCTCCGACAACATTCAATCGTGTCCCCCTAAGATGGATGATAATTTCCACATTTTGGAAATTTACAAGAAAAAGAACAGAAAAAAATGAGATTTGGTGGTATTGAAAAATTAATGAATATTCTGCCGTATTTCTTGATAACTCTCGACCAATAATAAAAGATGAGGAACGCAATAGTGGTGTTGGTGGTTGTTGGTCTCTTCGTCGCAATGGCGGTTGGTTGCAATGGTAGAAAGTGGTGGTAGTGATGGTAGTGATGGTTGAGGTGGGGGGTGGAGCGAGAAGGGCGTTGTGATCTAAACGCGGGCGGAGGGGAATGAAACAGTGCGTGAGGTGGAGATGGCGTTGGTGGTGAAGGGTGGTGAAAATGAAGGTGGTGGAGGTGCTTGAGAGAGAGAGAGGAGGCCACGGTTGATCGAGCCTGCCTTAAAGTCAACGAACTTGCGATCATATAACAATGTAGAAGAACAGCCACCACCACCACCACCAGTCTCGTGTATATAATATAATACTATTTGGTTATTTAATTTTTTTAATATAATCCGTATTTATTATCGATAGCCTGAGTAATAATGATAATAAATAATTCAAGAAAAACAAAAGTAGAAAATCATTAAAATATGAAATAACATTAAAATATATTTTTCTTGTAATTTTTTTTTGTTTTTTGTATATTATTATTATTATACTTAAGGTTACAAACTTTCACCCTGACTTTAACCCATCTTCGTCAAAGATATAGTATCTCTTTCTCTCGTTATCAGATTGGTCATAGAATTTTTGTTAGTGCTTGAAATTTAGTTGCTCTCCTTATAACGTCGATTACTAGACTAAACTAGAATAGAATAGGTAGGTCATTAATTATGTTTTTATAACTATTTACCCATGCAAATTAGACTTTCTCCTTTAAGTATTTATATATACAAGTACTTTATCGGGATTGAATCGATAATTAAGTAGAACGACTTACGAACGAATAACTCTGCAAAACAATCATTATCGAAAATGGTGGGGTATATCTAGTGTTAATACGGTTTTGGGAACTACATTGCTCTCAAATTTATTTATCCCTTTAATTATTAGTTCTAGTTGTTCTTACTTAAACACCTTAATGTCGAATGTCGAAATTTAATTACTTCTTTAATGGCATGTGATCCGAGGTATAATTAACTTATGCTTTTTACCGCGTCACAACATGAAAGTGATAATGATTTATCTATCTATACATATATCTATAGATACATTTATTTCATTTTGTTATACACCTTTTCTTCTGGATGATAAATGACTCTCTGTAATTAAACGTGAAATTTAATGTTATACTAATATCACGCCGTTTAAACCGTTATTATATCTACCGATTTACTTTTTTGTTTCAGGTAAGTGTATGATATATACCAAAGGACCAAAATCCGAAAAATAAGCATACTTTCGTCGGAGAAGTAAGTTAAAATGCCATTCGAAAGTAAAATACCAACCTAATCTGCATATATATATATATATATATATATATATATATATATATATATATTGGGTTGCTTGGAAAGTAATTTCGTCTTTCAAGTGTGCATAAACAGGTTGAATTTGATAAACTTAACCTCTCACCGATCTTACGTATTGTTATTTATCAGTTTACATCACTAATGCCTTTTGTTGTGTTAGAAAAAAAAAATATATATATATATATATATATATATATATATATATACGAGACTGGTATATGAGAAAGTTTTCTTGGAAACGGTTTTGAGTATTTGATCTTACTGCTTGCACAGCGTATGATCCTAATGGATTCCTCGTGCAACTGTGTAGAGTTGAAAAAAGAGAGAGGAAAAAACTCGGTGTTTTCAAGGTTTGACGAAGAGGAAGAAAAAACTCTCTTGTCAGTGCACACAATTTTGTGTGCTTCTTATTGAACGTTCAATTAAAAAACGGTCAAGGCGCGCGTACAACAGTAAAAGTTGTATCCGAAATCTTTTTCGAAAATTAAAGATATATTCGGGACGACAAGATGTTCCTATGACATTTATTTTTTATTTCAGTATGTATAGGTTAGGTTAGATAATGCTAGCAGCATTATACTCTTTGAAGTATTGACAAAAATTATTTATGAAATGCTCTGTATAAATAGAATAAAGACAAAATATAAAGACTCGCGTTTAAGGTAATGGTGTCATCCAAGATATTTCTAGAGTGTAAAGCATGCGTTACGCTACATGAGGAATTCCTGAGAAAGTAGGTGGGGCGGGGGGGGCGGGAGAAGGAGGGTGGAAATAATAAATTTTACATTAGTAACATCAGATTCTATCTAAATTTAAATCCAACAAATAACATAATTGAAAATATAACAACAACAAAATCCATAAGTTTTACAATACAAAGATAACTAAAAATTGTTGTTTTCTTCTTTTAAATTACAGTATAAACTATATATATATATATATATATATAGCCACGTGTTGCATTAGACAAAATTCGACTTAATGTTGAATCAGTTAGTGTTAAATTAGAAACAATTTGATTTAAAGTTACGAGCTTGAATATTTTCTCGTTATAATAACTTTAAGAAAATAAAAAATAATAAATAGAAAAAGGGCCAAAGGGGATGAAAAAAAGATGTGTGTGTGTGTGTAATATGACTATATGTAGAGACGAACGACGTGGTAAGCAGGAAGTAACATCCGGTCGGTAGATCACGATACTCATTTCACACTTCGTGTTCTCTATTTCATGGTTGTCCACTACCACCACCTAGCTCTCTTTGGCTAACATTGTCCTGTTGCGAATGCTGTCCAATTGAACTGTGTCGATATTTACCAATAATTCATGCTCTTAAGCCATACTTTCTTTAACTTTTCAATAAATATAATAAAAGTCATGTCACGCGCGCGCACTCTCTGTGTGTGCCAGTGTGTCACAACTAGACATTCACTTAAACACCTCCTACGGATTTTATGATGAGCTTTAGGTATTATCATGGTAACATTTTTTTATCCATTGACCAGCCAATTTTGAGAAAAATGCATTTAAATTTAAATATATTACAAGTGTCTAAAGCATTGTGTGTGTGTGTGTGTGTGTGTTCTGCATTCATTGGGTACGATAGAAAAACTTAATTTGATTATTTCATTTAAAAAAAGGAGTACTTGATTGATTTCTATTAGAAAAGAAAATAATATTGCTTACATAAAAGAAAAAATGAGTGTCTGCCGATTATGAGGGTGGGTGTCTTGTTTACCTACCTATCATTTAAAAGAACTTTCTTACGATATCAGCATGTGGCTAATAGATAAGATAATCATCGTTTGTTAGATTCGCGAGGAATCGAGGAATAGAGAAATGTATGCTGGAGAAACGAATGAGAAAGGTGTTTGCGGAATGCAATATATTAGGGCGAATTAAATTCGTTCGTGCCTTTTTAAATTAATATTTTCAAAATAATTTTCACAAGAACAATCTATTATACAGTTTGTAACATTACACGTACGAACTCTTGGTTATAAATAGGGTCTATATATTTCAAAGGGAAAGGAAGAAGAAGAAGAAGAAAAAGAAGAAGAAGGAAAGCAATTGATTGAAAGGTGGTGGTATGATAGTTGGAATATTTCGTATATAACTATATTAGAAAAAGGAAAGGAAAGGAAAGGAAAGGAAAGGAAGGAAGGAGTATTGGATGATCTCGTGGTGGTATTTAGTTTGATCGTTTTGCAGGCTAGCAGCCCACGGCCAACATACGTCGGCGCTAACAACGGTAACGCTGGTGGAGGCGCCAACGCCGGAGGCGTGGGCGTGGGCCCAACCAGCGGCGGTGGCAGTGGCGGCGGCGGCGGTGGTGGCGGCACAACTGCCGGTAGTGGCGGAGGTGGTGGAGGTGGCCACGGGGGCGGCGCTGGCGCCGGCGCCGGTGGTGGATTGAAGGGGAACGCGTCAGGAGGTGGGGCAGGGGGTGGCGCTGGCGGCGGCGGCGGCGCCGGTGGTGGCAGTGGCGGTGGTGGCGGCGGCGGTGGTGGAGGTGGCGGCGGAGGACCACGAGGAGGTAATCCTGTGCAATTTCGAGCCAGTGGCGCCGCCGCGGCAGCTTGGGGCGCGGCGCCGTCGACCATAGTGGCAGCAGCGGCCGCCATGCCGTGTTTCAACCGCTTTCCGAGTGCCGCCGCGGCGGCTGCCGCAGCGGCACAGGTACAGGTCGGTGCGCAACCGTTACAGCCCTCTGCCAACCCTTACGTCACCGCCCCCTACGCTCAGCACGTCTCGGTGAGTACACTCCTATGGCGGACCTTTCCTTTTCTCTGCTTTTTTTCTTTTCTTTTACAACAACAACTTCTTCTTCTTCTTCTTCTTCTTCTCATTTTTCTTATCTCAGCAAGCTTTTATATCTATTTTATTTTTATAATTCGCTTTTGCATCCTACCTGCCTACCTGATGTACCATTTTTTTTTTTTTTGTGATTGCTTTCATATACTACTATCGCATTTGATACCTCTTCCAACGACGCTTTTCTTCTTTTTTATCACAATTTTTACTGCACGATGGTTTACTCTGTCCTTCTTCCACTTCTCTCGATATATGCCGCGTTCTTATATTACTACTAACTTATCGACTCGTAACCACGAAAAGATGCGCGACGAGCAGCAGCAGCAACAGCAGCAGCAGCAGCCAGTCGTCGTCCTATTGCGTGCTACCTTCGATGTGCACGCCTCCATACGAGCGTTCAACGATTTACTTACTCTGTGCCTAATGGGGGTCCCTCCTCTTTCTCCTTTCTAACTTCACGAATTGCGCTACTGGACATACAGTGGTATCTCTCTCTTTCTCTCTCTCTCTCTCTCTCTCTCTCTCTCTCACTCTCACTCAATTGTGATCGTTTCTATACGATTTAGCATCTATAAATGATTCATTTGTTGCCGTTGCTGCCCGTTACCCCTTCTTTTTCCTTACTTTAATCAGACACGGTGCATCGCTGACGCGGGGTCACGGTCACCACTCCGGCAAGTGTCGTCAAACTGCAAGCGAAACAAATTTCCCAGAGATGTACGTACAACATTCCACGCAAGATACCGCTAAAGAAATTTATAACTGCGATCGCTTATTATTCCTTTTCGCGAGACAACTGTCGTCGTCGTCGTCGTCGTCGTTGTCGTCGTTTGCTTGGATTCGTGGATACTTTTTTTTTTTCCTACTCGCGCATGCCACTTTTCACCGTTTAATTACTTACGCGAACACCTTTTTTCTTTTTTTACACGTATTTGATTTTGTTATTTTTATATCTCCCCTCCCCACAGTCGTCTTTTCGTTCGAAAATCATGCATACGTGACCACACGGTAGATTAATGAATTTACTTCGAATTTTGGAAAATAAAGTGTTTTTCATTGTTAGAAAAAATGTAAAGTACATTGTGGCGAATTATCATGAGGAATTATTAAGAAAAATCAAAAGATCGACAAAAAAAAGGCGTGTTCTTTATAATTTACTATTGGTTAATTGAGGAAAGTGTTATATTGCCATTGGTCGACGATGACCGTACATAGATAACCTCCTTGTCGGAACTTGGCAAATCGCTGTATAATATCAAGCCACTCCTCCATATCACTTAATATTGTTCTCTGCTTTTCTATCCGTATGTCTATTATATTATCTGCTATCAACATTGTATATATATATATATGTACATGCTACTATTTGTTGTAATAAAATGAAATCAAAAGAGGTGCTGCAAAGAGTGGAACAAAGTTCAATGAAAACTAAAAATGATGCGCTTTGAAACTTTTTCATTGTTGCTTTTCTTCTTTTTCTTCCAATTTATTTAATTCTTAGCTTATTTATTTACCTGCTAGATAAACAATTAATAGAACATAAAGCGTGTAATGTGAACTATTTAAAATTTGTGTTCTTTTTATATATCTACTAGTATGGTGGACAACGGGTACCTACAGCCTCGTCACCAGCCAATACCACCAGTAGTTCTAGCAGTGCCACTGGCAGTCAAAGCGGGGCAATGAGCACAAGTATGAGCAATAATGCTATGCAAGGACAACAGACGGAACAATTATCTAAAACAAATTTATACATACGTGGCCTCAACCAAAATACTACCGATAAAGACCTTGTTAATATGTGTTCTCAGTACGTAAATGATATTATTTAATGAATGAATTTAAAAAAAAAAAAAAAAAACCACAACAACAACAAAATTAAGAAGTATTCATACATAAGTTTTAAATAATAACCGAAACTGTTTATAGGTATGGAACTATAACATCCACGAAGGCAATATTGGATAAAACAACAAACAAATGTAAAGGTACTTATTTAAATTATGCTATTATAAAATCACTTACACATTCGTGTAGTTTCTTACTTCTTTTCTTTGTCATCATAAAACAAAAAAGTATAGAAAAAATGCAAAATTATCTTTTAATCGTATCATTATAATCAAATTGTTTTTTAGGTTATGGCTTTGTAGACTTTGAGTCACCGGTGGCGGCAGAGGGTGCTGTGAAAGCACTGGTCGCCAAGGGCATCCAAGCGCAGATGGCGAAAGTGGGTATCTGGTTGCTCCGTAGACTGGCAAGTGTACGTTGGTTGTGCATGCAAGTACAGTAATACCAGAGTAACAGTAAACCTCTTTTTCTTTTTCTTTTTCTTTTTCTTTTTCTTTCTTTCTCTTTCTCACTCTATCTGATTTTTATTTATTTTTCCTATTCTTATCCATCTGTTTCCATCCTCTTCTTGTCCAAATTCATATGTGTACTATTATTCTAGCTAATAACTCTCTCTCTCTCTCTCTCTCTCTCTTTCTCTCTCTCTCTCTCTCTCTCTTTTTTTTTTTTTAATTGTGTTAAACAACAGGCAACTATCTTAGTTCCATTATGAAAAAAAGAAAAATGATATTGTTATAGCACATGAGTACTATGTGATAATTAATTTGATTAAAAGATAAAAGAGTAGTCATGTGTGTGACGTATTAGTGTCAAACGCTAAGATATTTTAATTATAGAATTGTATATTATACGTGCAATATATATTTTATTTGCACACTTGTATACTGCCTTTTGTATTTCATAATTTAGAATTTAATTCATTTTTTTTTCTTTTTTTTCTTTTTTTTCTTTTTTTTCTTTTTTTTTTGATCAAATTTATTTTATATGAATATAATATGTGTGGTTAGAGAAAATATTTCCCATAATTATAGTAATAACATTATTTTCATGTAATATAATTTAATGTTATTCATCGTAAAGGTTTTTCCGTGATAGAAAATATTTGATTTATTACATATGATCGATAATAGAAAGAAAATAATGTACTCATGAGCATCTCTACATGGAATTACAAGTTCATTTATGTTTCACCAATATTTTGTTCTCTTCCTTACCAAGACCTGTCTCACTTGTCTAGAAACGCTCTTTTACATTAATCGGTTCTGTCTATTATTCTGTCTTAAATACCTACAAACCTCTCTCTATATTGATGCTTGCTGCTGTGCCTCGGCCACCAAATTGCTAATAAATATGTAGTATTTTAACAAAATATTATTTATATTTGGATTATTCCAAATTCTCAAATTCTACTTATACTACTTATTCTAACACGATAAAAACAAAGTAACCGTTAATACATATACCGTTCTTTACAATGAAGTACTATTATTGATATTACTATTAAAATAATTCAAAGTTAGTTAAACATCTGTCCGTTATTACTATAAATAATGAGAATACATTTCCCTATGCTACTGAAATTTGATTTTTCTTTTATAACGTAACTTATTTAACAATTTTGTTCATTCAAGGTTCATTCTATTAATAACTGCTATATTCCATAATTTATATAGAAGAACAATTAGCAATTAATAAATATATATAATTATATTTGTGATATATTAAATATTGATAAATTTAAATGGAATGAAATGAAAATAAGTCATTTAAAATGACATTAACTTGTAGTAATATCTTTCAATTTGGCCGTGGTAAAAGCAGAGGGTGGCCACAAACAAGCAGCTGTGATGATGTCGATCGCATGTGATATGATAAAACTAAACAATGTGTACCCACTAATAACTATACTCAGGGTACACGGTATACTTACCATTCAATGGTGCTATGTGAAGATCAGGTGCTATCTTACCCCTGGGGTGTTGGTTGGCTCTGATTGGCACACTTGGCTTAAATAATGAAGGTTTAACCAGCACACCAATAAATCTGTAAACATATTCAAGGATTTTCTTTATAAGATTCAAGTACCATCATTAATTCCAAATAATTATCATCTAATGGTTTATCATTGTCATAATATATATATATATATATCCAATAATCGAACTATGTATAAATTGAATTTATTTATTCTAAAGTTCCAAGTTAAACAAGTATATATTTGATTTCATAATAAAGTATTTGAATCTTATATATTTATGTATACTCGCATTTGATCAAAATATAAATCATTTGGTTAAAGTATAAATACATTAAAGTATATTTCTTCTATCATACAAACATACACACATACGTACATATGTATATTTATGCATATTGATTTTTTATTGTGTGTATGTGTGTGCGCGTGTGTGTATGTATGTATGTGTGTACATATCTTTATATATCCATATGTGTGTATATGTATGTGGAATGGCCCTTTCAAAAATAATGTTTAATTTTTTAATATCTTTTTTTTTTTTTTTGTAAATACGCGTTATTCATTGACGTAATATTAAAAAATTAGCTTGAATTTATTTAAAAAGAAAGATGGAAAATTTGTTGGTAAATAATTAGTCGTCAATATTTGGTTTGAAGAAACCAAAAAGGTTATTTTAAATAGAAATAATTGAGACATTAATTTGAAAAGGGACATCATCTGTATACATACATAAATGCCATCAGCTTGGCTTATATATCATAATATTTTCATTATTTGTTCTTTTTTTTTAATGCATTCGCAAGATTGAAGTAAATTGTCGTAAAGTATAAGTATATTCAAGTAATTGTAGATTTGATTGGTATACTTGACAGAAATGGTGAATCTCAAAATATGCTTGAGGGTGCATAAATAATCATTTCAAAATTTAGTTTAGCCTACAACACACTCGTGTTTGTTTCAATCCTTTCACAAATTCCTTTTATAAAGTCATTAATAAAGTATCATAAAGCATTCAATACATATGTATATATATATATATATATTTTTTTTTTTTTTTAACATATATCATATGTTTTCTGCAAATATAGTCAATCGTAATTCTTTTTTTTTTTTTCTTTCTTCTTTTTAAATCGAATTTATACACTTTGCAATGCCTGTGCTTTGCCTTTTGCTTCTTTTTCTTTTGTTTTGTTTTGTTTTTTATCTTAAATAAAAAAAAAATAAGATATAGAAAAGAATACACAAAAAAAATATATTCCCGTTGCTTTCAGTGTATCAAAAAAAAATGAATAGAAGATATTTGTTCACATATTTGATATATAAATACAATTTAAATACATCTATGTGTGTATATATGCTTACATTTTTGTTTTGTTTTGTTTTGTTTTCTTCATATTTTTTAATTTTCATTTTGAAGGTGTTATTAAAAATATAAAATATGAATTAAGAAGCTTGCATGTCGGCTTAATTACAAAAATCATATATGAATGTAATTGATTATGCAATTGTATTGATTTGTTAAAAGAATTTTCAAGTTTTTTTATTTCTGTTTATATGCATTAAATAAATACGTTAGTTTTGCTTTAAATATTTTCAATAATCAAAAATATAATAATTTATATTATTTTACAAATATTTTTTTTGTATTCTTGTCTTCTTTATCTTTTTTTCTATAAGTTTAGAGATATTGTTGTACTAGTTTACAAAACTATACATTAACATTGTATTTAATATCAATGTTTTTGGTTTTCCCCCCCCCCCTCTAAAATACAGAAAGATTGTAAGAAACACCAGTAATTTTTGTTACGATAAATATCGAAAACTATAAATAAATAATATCAATTGAGTACCTATTATCTGTGTGTGCATGTTTTGACTTTAAATTGAAAGTATTTAAATGATACATTAAATAATGAATTATGTGGTTATCTATAAGATTAGTAGAAAGAAGAAAAAGAATTACAAAAAAATATATATATCTGGAAGCATCTATAAAGCAAATTTAGAGAGCCACCAGAATGTGGAGAAGCCTAATGCCATGAAGCATGATAACCTTTCAACATTGAAAACAATAATTATTGTCTTAATTCATATTCAGTCATATTTCTGATATATCTGTCCATTTGCATTCTTGCGATTAGTTCAGAATAATTATTCCTTATATATATATATATATATATATATATACATATATATATATATATATATATATAGCTTACTAATTTTTTTTGTAGTATCATTGTTGTAGACATACATCATGTTTTAATAATAAATATCAATAAGTTAATGTACAAAAAGAATATATTATTTTTAAACGTAATTTTATATTTTTTTGTTGCCAAGATACATTGAAAACATTTTAATATTTATAAGTTTCAAATTATTCATATATATATATATATATATATATATTTTTTTTCTTTTTGTTGCCAAAATGATACGAAATACAGCTTTCACAAATAATCATTGTAATTTTTCAGATCAAATGTATGTAAACACTTAGTATATTACACGTAAAATTATGTAAAATGTAATAATATGATAAAATATTATTTTTCTTAATGTAATTATGTAAAAAATTTCATACAATTAATCATTTTAACGAGTAGTAATATATAATATACAAAATTACATACACGATATATATCTGAAAAGTCAAAATGATAATAATTCATTAAAATGATGCTATATTTTATAGTAGTAAAACATACAATATATTGCATAGTATTTTTACTCTCTTCTCAGCAACAGGAACAGGATCCTACAAATCTGTATATCGCAAACCTTCCATTGAACTTTAAGGAAAATGATGTTGAAGGACTTCTTCAACAATATGGACAAGTCATTTCGACTCGCATTCTACGTGACACCTCAGGACAAAGTAAGGGTGTTGGTTTCGCAAGGTCAGTATATATTTCAACTTTATATACAAATATATATATATATATATATATATATATATATATATGTATATATATATGTACATTTAATTGTATGTTTAAAAATAATGATTAACACTAGATATACCAAACCAGTTAGTAGTCATTTTGACTGGTCGGGCCATTTTCATTCAAAATTTCTACTTCACGTAACATTTGATTTTAACTGTAAATAATAAAGCTTTTTGTTATTTTTTAAGAGTAATTAAAGACTGCAAGCTTCAAAAAGCATTTTTGTTTTGTTTTTTGATATATCAGTCATTTTGACTAGTGTGATAGATAAAGAAGGTATATTGAAAATGGTGGTATATCTAGTGTTAAGATATGTGTTATATGAAATTTCAGAATGGAATCGAAAGAAAAATGTGAACAGATAATTCACATATTTAATGGTAAAGCATTACAAGGAGCTAAAGATCCATTATTAGTTAAATTTGCTGATGGTGGTAACAAGAAAAAATCAATGTATAAAAGTACAATGTGGAGAGATACCGGAGAAGTGAGTATATATAAAATATACGTAATATATTTTGAATGCAGAGACACAAGTTCAAGTTTCATTATAATGCTATTATTACACATTTATTTCTTTATTTTATTAGAATATGACGATGAATTATGATGCAAGCGGAGTCGGTCAAAATGGCGTTGCGACAGCCCATATGCTACCTACAGCAACTTTAACTCAATATGGTCGTCATTATGGTCAAGCTGTCCCTGGTTATAGCGTACCAGGAACACCCTGGGTCACACCGTACCTTGTGCAGCCTGCGCCTCCTCATATGCAACAGGTCGACGTGAGTTTTTATAAGAAGAGTTTTTCATTTATTTTTGTTTTTTTTTTGTTTTTCTTTTTTAGACATTTGACTAGATTCTTTTCATCTTTTTCTTTTTCTTTTTCTTTTTCTTTTTTTTTAAGTATTTTCTCTATTCGTTGCAATAATAAACCTAATAAAATATAACATATATGAATCGCGTATATATCGCGTATATAATTATCTTTTCATTACAATTTTTATTTCATTAATTGATAAGTTATTATTTGCCTTTTTTTCTTTTCCTTTTTTGTTTTTTGTTTTTTTTCTTGATTTTACTACCAAATATGAAGTCTTATTTTTAGTATTTGTTTCTTATTAGAAGTTTATCTTTTTTTTTTTTTTTGTTTTCTTTTTATTCTTACAGATGATGCCATCTGCAGATCCTAGTAATCCTCAATACAGTATAATACCGCAACTTACAACACAAATGTCTGCAATGCATTTGGGAACTGGCTCAGTAAGTAATAAATAAAATTTAAAATATATTCAAGATAATAGAGATATAAAAATTATTAATTCAAGATACATTAAAAATAATGTGTTTCGAATGATTAACTGAAAATTATGTTAAAATTACTATATTTTGATCATTCTGGTAGGTAATGTATATGTATATATGAATATATCTAAATAATAGATTTATCTTGTTTCAGTACATAGCAAGTCATCATCCTTATTCTTATACGACTTATCCACAACCTAGCATTATTCATCAAATACCACTGGGCGATTCAGAACAGACAAGTAACGCGGCATCTCCTGACGATTCTTACCAACAGTATCAAGCTCAACAGCCCAAGTAGGATACGGTTTATAGGTTAGTAATATATATATATATATAATAGAAATTTATATTAAATAGTTTCTAATGTAGTTTTTTTCATTGTTTTTTTTCTTCTTTATATATACAGATACGAATATGCAGAGGGCTACATAAGTTAGAAACGCGATATACACATGCTGAAAACAAACAAAGAA